GCACTCATGGAGGTTTTTCCGTCCCTCGCCGAGCTGCAGAGGACTGCTTCCCTCCATTGGTAATTATTATTATTAAAGTGCAGTTTTCACCTGTACTGTATTTTAGTCTAACCCATTGGATAACTTTTGATGAGGACGCATTTATTTTTTGGAACTAGCTGATTTTATTGTTTTGGTTGACTTGTATGTTGAACCAAGTAGATTGTTTTTGTAGGATTATACGCAGCAGAGGCCTTCACAAGAGCTTGTAGCAAAGGATCTCCATGGCTTTGAGTGGAGATTTAGACATATCTACCGTGGTATGCATTAGAAAATTGCATGTATTAATGCTTCAGTACTTTAGGTCGTCTCTCATAGATCATGAATCAGTGACGTGTTTTTTAGGATTTTATCATATCCTCATGCATCCAATTTGTTGTCTTCTGTTTTTGTTTTCCATCTTGCTTGAACAGGGCAACCACGAAGGCATTTGCTCACTACTGGATGGAGTGCATTTGTAAATAAGAAGAAACTTGTCTCTGGAGATGCTGTGCTCTTTCTTAGGTATAGAGAGCTCTGTTTTAAAAGGAAAATGTTAACGGCTGTTCTTGGAAATTCTTATTTAAGATTACATTTCAGGGGTGAGGATGGAGAACTGAGGCTGGGAATCCGAAGAGCTGCGCAAGTAAAATGTGGTGCTACTTTTCCTATTCCAGCTCTATGTAGTCGACAGTTGAGTCATAGCACTCTCACAGATGTGGTTAATGCTATATCTATGAGAAGTGTTTTCAATATTTCCTACAATCCAAGGTATTTTGAATCTTCCTTCATCTAATGTCTTAGAGTAAATGCAGCACCATCAATTTTTTGGATCCTAGCATGCGAAGCTGCTAAGGAGACTTGTAGAAAGTTATTAGTGAATTTTCTTTGGATACGCTGCTTTCGACCCTATCATAGTCATTTTGGTTATTGAAGTGCTTAGGACTTTGTTATGGCTTGTTATGACATAAATGTGCATGTCTTTTCAGCTCTTTTTTTCTACAAGCCCCCGCTTTGCTCTCATCATATTAACTTGTGTTAAGATAGTGTAGTGAGAAGCATGAATAAGAAAAGCTTAACTGCAAGATCTGAGGGCAAAACAGAAACAGAAATTTCGTAGAACTAATATGAGTGGTGTTGTTTGCGTATCATTTTTCCCCAGTTGGTCTCTGCTTTCAAAAGGAGTGTCAATTGAATAGGACACAAGTCCCCAATGAGTCAAGATACTTTCCTCGCCTCACAGCCTTTGAAATGTCTCTTGTACCATAGTGCCAAAGCTCATTGTTCACAATTTTGAGTTTTTACTACTGCTGTAGTTCATCTTGTTTTGCTTCTTAGTGTTCCATCCTTCTCCAATAAGGGCAATGTATTTCACTCTTAAGTCTTACATGTCTCTTGAATGTAGAAAAACCATTCAGTTGAGCTCTAAATTTGGACTTTTTATTTTACCAAGACTTATTGGTGTGCCCCTATACTCAGTATTTACTAGTGACTGGTCTTCCTAAATATCATTATTGCGGTTACTTGGACACTTCTGCTGGGTAATTCTAATAAATCTGCTCTGATGAGCTGTATAATTCTTTCCATTTAATTCTTTTTACCCTTAAATTTTCACTTGTCTGTTGTAGGGCCAGCTCATCAGAGTTCATAATACCCTTCCACAAGTTCTTGAAGAGCCTTGATCATTCTTTCTCTATTGGAATGAGATTCAAAATGCGTTTTGAAACGGAAGATGCAGCAGAAAGAAGGTTTGACATGCTTGGCCCATAACATTTCAACTGGACTTCATTATTAAAGTGTTGACTAAAGTCTCTTTAACAGATACATGGGTATAGTAACTGGAATCAGTGACCAAGATCCTGCTAGGTGGTCTGGTTCAAAATGGAAGTGCCTTGTGGTATGTCTTTGCTATGGAAGTTATATTCGTTGATTCTGATGAGGATTTTCTGAGAATCATATTTAATGAAAATAATGTTTGTGCCTCGGGTGATACAGACATCATTTATTTGGATGCCAAAATTGTGAATTTTTTATACAGTTTTTCAATTTGGGGAAGTTTCTAGTTCCCTTCTAAAAGTTTTAGTGATGCTCACACCTAGGTGTTCTCTGTTTATGATCATCTTTTATAATCATGATTTTTTGTATGTGGTGTTATACTGAGAGTATTTGACTTGATGGCCTCTTTTTTATAATTTTGCAGGTAAGATGGGATGATATGGAAACTAGCAAGCAGAGCAGGGTTTCTCCTTGGGAAATTGAGCCATCTGGTCCTGTTTCCAGTTCCACCAATTTTTTTGCACCTGGTTTGAAGAGGAGCAGGTCTGGGTTGCCTTCGTCAAAGCCAGAATTTCCAGTTCCTGGTATGTTCTACATTCTTAAGAAACTTTACGCATATGGTTGTAACCAATTCTCTCCACATTTCTGAAAAATATTACTTACTTTTTTTTTTTCTCCCAACAGATGGGATTGGTGTATCAGACTTTGGGGAATCTTCAAGGTTCCAGAAGGTCTTGCAAGGTCAAGAAATTTTGAGTTTTAACACTCTTTATGATGGTGTTGATCCGAATCGACATCCATCTGAGGCAAGGAGGTGTTTTCCTGTCTCACACAGTTCTAGGCTTCCTGCATCAAGGAATGGTGCCAAAGATCTGGTTGTGAACTCTGATGTTTCCTATAAAGGCATAGGCTTTAGTGAATCTTTTAGATTCAACGAGGTCTTGCAAGGTCAAGAAATAATTCCAAGTTTGCCATTTGGACGAGGCCTAAAAACTAATGAGGCTTGTGAAAATGGTTTCTTTGGGGTCTCTGATGGTGTTCAAATGTCAAATTCAAGAAATGGATGGTCTACTGTGATGCAGGGTTATAGTACTCATATACGTCCACCCGCACAGGTATCCTCACCATCATCAGTATTAATGTTCCAGCAAGCAAGCAATCTAGTTTCAAACCCAAGTCCCATGTATGATTTTCATGGTCAGGAGAAGCAGGGAGTTAGCACTCATAGTTGGTTTCATAATCCTGAAACATGTGGTGAAAAACACATTTTTTCCTCACATTCTGATCGTATTTCCAGAAGAGATGATCAGCGGGGCATGGGTTCTTTCAGTCTTTCTCATGATCATAATCAACATGGCATTTTACAGCCTCTTGTAGCTCAGTCACCATTTAGAGGTAGTCAAGATTTGGTATCCTCTTGTAAAAGCAGCTGCAGACTCTTTGGTTTCCAGTTGACAGAGGATAGGCATGTCACTAATAAAGACAACAATCCCCTTCCTATGACATCTCTGAATCCTGGATCTTCTTTTCTGCCCCGTGTTGGAGAGCCATTCCGCCCAAAGCCTCCAGCAATAACCAATGCAGTTGGAAACAACTGTACTAAAGTAAGCAGCCTGTAATTTAAGAGATGCATTTTTTATATTTCTTTGCTGTTCGCTTATCCACAATATAAACCACAGTTCACATGGCAAGAGTAGTAGACATGATAAATTATGTTTCTAGATGTAAGATGCATTATTATCTTGTTCGTGAATTGGATCATTTATTAGATTCAGAAGGCTTTCTAGTGGTGTAGATTGAGAAAGGAAAGTATGTTATGAGGAAATGAAGGTGGCAAGATTGGAGATAGTTGAAGTTGGCTCCTGCACTGAATAATTTATTTTCATTTACAATGCTGCTCTGTCTCAAGAACATTTTGTGCATGAACCTTGAGCCTGGAATCTGGTTCTTGTGAAACTTTGCTTTATGGTTTTCAATGAAATCCATTTTCTGGCTCAAAGCTGGTCCATGTTCATAATGGCATCCTATATGTTAATCAAATTGTTTTTGCTCATACAACTTCCTTATTTACAATCTTTCTTGGATATATAATTCTAGTTCTCAATTATATTAGCGGAGTTCATCTTTTCTAAAGTGTTGGCATTGTATTGTAGGGAATTCTGCAACAGCAAACCTGAAACTGTCATATACACTGAAGATCGTGTAGTCACATCTGGTCTGAGGCTGCAGAAAAGAATGCCTACAGTTGCTTTGATAATACACATTAGCTTCTGAGGAAAAAAAAAATTGTAATTAATCTCTCCGAAGGTAACTCGGCTATGTTCTAACTCCCTTGGCTTTGAAAAAGAGTAATTTGTACTAATCTATTAGGTTCTTGGTGACAATCAATGTTCAAGAATAGTCTATTTATCCTTTCTGGTTCAATCTAACATGGAGTATTTGTATTAAAAATGACATTTTACCAAGTACTTACCTAGCTCATCATATCATTTCTTCCATTCTAGCTTGCTGATGCTGAATTATTCTTATGGGGGTGTTTTTCTTTCAATTTGCTTTGATTGTGATTTCAAACCTAAATGTATTCTGTTCAAATTATAATTGACTTGTGTGGATACCATTCATAGCTTAATGACCTAGAACTAGATGTCAATTTAATGGTGCAAATTTATTGTGTCGTCTACTAAGAATGGAAAAAGAAAGTCTTGTGTGAATACAGAAAAAGGGACCAAACTAAAATTTATTGACCATTAAATAAGTCTAAACGCTAGTATTGGTCCTGCCATTTTCAAACAATCTTGAATTTACAAACCTAAGGTAATATTTCACTTCTTTTTTCTTTGTAATAAACGTTAAAACGTGAAAAGGCTGAAAGAAAAATTTGGATCAGTACGCGTAATCTCGTGAAAACTGACTATATTTTTCCTATTTTCGTAATAAACTTTCTTTTCTCCTCCTTTATTGTTTTTATTAGAAAACAAAAAAAGGAATGGGAAAACATTGGCAGCAGAATATTCTCACCAATCAGGTTGGTGAACAAGTTTTATAGTACGTCGTAATAATCAACATTTGACTCTTAAGACTCTATACCAGAAGAAGAAGAAGAAGAATGGTGTTTTACTTTTAGTAAGGTCAAGCTCAACTGTACAAAAACACGTATATGATGATGTATCACTTTAATTTGTCGTTTAAATTTAATCATTGTGTTATTTTGACTAATTAACCACACATAAGCATCAAAAGTTATTTATTTATTGATTAATGAAGGATTCCAGTTAATTCTCTCTGTTGTGAAATTTCGCACCATTAATATTAAACTTAGGACAAAAAGGTTGAGACCACTTAGTAGCTGAGACTGGGACCCAGTATTCATTCTTTGGGTCGTCTTCCTTCTTCCCACTTCCTACGATAACTATACGGTTATATATTATTGTAGCAACAGAAGCTTGACAAATTCAATTCCAGAGAAGAATCTTGCTATATTCCACAAGAGAGAAAATTAAAAGAGAGAGATGGCTGAAGGAGGAGAAGAAGAAACGACACTTGAAACAACGCCAACATGGGCTGTTGCTTCTGTTTGCTTCATTTTGATATTGTTATCGATCATAATTGAGCACTTGCTCCATCTTTTAGCCAAGGTATATTTTATATATGCAAGATTTGATGACCCTTTAAAATGCATTCATGCATATATATTTTGTTTTGATTTTCAGTATCTCAACAAGAAAAGGAGGAAGGCACTCTTACAGGCTTTAGACAAGATAAAGTCAGGTAAAAAATAATTAATATATGCAAGAAATGCTAATTGTTCTTATATATTAAACCTTGCTCGGTCATATACATGTTCTGTAACTTGTAGAATTGATGCTACTGGGTTTCATGTCCTTGTTGCTAACCGTAAGCGAAAAGCCTATTGCAACTATTTGCATCCCAAAGAGCGTCGGCGAAACATTTCTTCCTTGTGGTGGCGTGACTTCCGGTGAGAGCGAGGAAGAAGCAAAATGTGCAGAGCAGGTATATTATGTTTCATATGTAATAAGACAAATGTATGATTTTCTCTCCATTTACAGACTCAATGACGATGTTGATGAACAGGGAAAGCTGTCTCTATTATCTAGGTCAGGTGTTAGAGAACTCCAGTTCTTGATCTTTGTGTTGGCTTCTTTCCATTCTTTATCATCCATACTCATATTTGGATTAGGGATGGCCAAGGTAATTAATTTTTATTCAATGAACTTTCTTTGTTAATTTTCTCTTTTCTTTAACTTATTATTAGTTTCCTAGTCGATGCTTTCTCAAACTGGCTTTTGACTTTCTAGAGGTATATGAAATGAATTTTCTAAGAGGAAGCAAACTTTCAGTATAACGCCTCATATATATACGTACTTCTGTTCACTTTCATGGATTTCCAAATGGGAAAATTGGACTTTACAGAAAAATTTACTGTGTATTTTCTCAGATGAGGAGATGGGAGTCTTGGGAGGCTGAAACAAGAACTCTTGACTACCAATTTTCAAAGGGTAAGTTCAATTTTTCCTAATCTTTCATTGGAACTTTCAAATTTTGTTTCACTAGGAAACAAGTATGACATCATGGCTTATTATGATCTTCATGGAGACCTGTCAATGTTATGTTTAATTTAATTATTTATTTTCAGGAAATTAAAAAAAAATTATCAGCAATAGTCTGCATGATTACATTTTCTCTCAATTAATATAATACTTCCAAAATTAAGTATAAAGGATAAAAAAATCTGCTATTAAAATTAATAAAAAGCTTAAACTTTTATTCCTTTGTTTGCTTTAAACAATTGTGAACTTGTCTTCTCATGCTTATGATTTCCAGATCCAAGGAGATTTCAGCTCACCCATCAAACATCATTTGGTAAAAGGCACCTGAGATACTGGAGTGAACACCGCCTTCTCCAGTGGCCGGTTTGTGTTTTTTTTTTTTTTTTTTTTTTTTTTTTTTTTTTTTTTAATGTATAAAAGGGATAAAATCTGGTATTAGAATTTAATAAATAAAGCTTTAGAAACTTTTATTTGCCTTTTGTTTGTGCTTTAATAACAATTGTGAAACTTGGTCTTCTCATTGCTTTTGTTTCCAGATCCAAGGAGATAGTTTCAGCTCACCCATCAACATCACTTCAGGGTAAATAAGGCATGGAGTACTGGAGTGAACACCGCCTTCTCCAGTGGCGTGTTTGTAGTTTTCTTTTTTTTTTTTTTTTTTTTTTATTTTTTTTTAGATGAAGAGAATCATATGATATTAAGGATATCTCAAATATTACCTTTTTAATTATAACTGATCTAAAGTTTTGACAGACATGTTTTGTGAGGCACTTTTATGGATCCCGTCTCTAAAGTCGGATTATCTCACATCAGACATGGATTCATTCCGGTAACCAACTCTCAAAGTTGGCACTATTTAGCCACGTAGTTTTTTGTCACTTTAACTTAACTTTATTAAGCTTTTGGAAATTCCAGCTGTTTTCTGCTATCTTAACTTTTAATTATGCACCTGGAGGGCCCTTTTGAAGGAAGGACACTTTTGATTTTCAGGGCATACATTAACAAAGAGCTTTGGATTTTTTTTTTTTTTTTTTTTTTTTTTTTTTTTTTTAAATAAGAGAATCATTACTATTAAGGAATATTATACCATTTTTAATTAATTAACTCATCTAAGTTTTGCAGACATGTTTTGTGAGGCAATTTTATGGATCAGTCTCTAAAGTGGATTATCTCACACTCAGACATGGATTCATTACGGTACAACTCTCAAGTGACAACTAAATAAGCACGTATTTTTGTCATTAACTTAACTTTATAAGCTGAAAATTACAGTTTCTGTATTTAACATTATTAATTATGCACTGCAGGCCCATTTTGAGCAAGGAAGGAACTTTGATTTTCAGAAATACATTAAAAGAGCTTTGGAGAAAGACTTTGGGGTGGTGGTGGGGATAAGGTATCTGTACAGTCAGTGTACAAAATATTGACATTGACATGTTTCTTTTTTGATGTTGAAGTTCATTTTATAGCTCTCATTAAACCTCAGAGGATAATTATTTGCCTCAAATTTTGTTTCTGCAGTTTCTGGATTTGGATTTTCTCTGTTTTTTACATATTCTTCAATGCACATAGTGAGTGCAGATATACTTTCATTAATCAAATTGCACCAATTCTTCAAATTTTATATGAAGTACTCAGTTTCATAATACTAATCCAACTCCTCTTCTTTATATTCACAGAATTTTACAGTTACTTATGGCTTCCATTCATTCCATTAGTGGTAAGAAAATTGTTCTCTTTACCCATCAGTAATTCTAGTATCAAGAATTTTAAAGTGCATGGAAAATGAGAAAGAAGATAACATAACTTCATGTTCTCTTGCTTATAGATGGTACTATTGGTGGGTACAAAGCTAGAGGGCATCATAACTTCAATGTGCTTGGATAGCCATGACAAGTCTCATGTCGTTAGAGGAACTTTGCTTGTTAGGCCTAGTGACCATTTTTTCTGGTTTGGCTGGCCCAAATTGCTTCTCCACCTTATACACTTCATTTTATTTCAGGTAATTAATGATATCTTCAAATTATCTATACTCTATATATTTGTATTTACGAAGTATATTTATGTTTTGGGTTGTTGCAGAACTCCTTTCAGCTTGCATTCTTCACCTGGACTTGGGTAATTAACAATTTAATTACGAGTTTTAATATATAAGTAATGGAATATAAAATTCAATACTGAATTAATTTTCTTCTAATTAATTAAACACAGTTCAAATTTGGTCTAAGATCATGTTTCCATAGAGAAACTGAAGATATTGTAATAAGGCTAGCCATGGGAGTATCAGTACACTTCCTTTGTGGCTATGTGACATTGCCACTATATGCTTTGGTCACGCAGGTATGCATTAATTTTCTATATGCAATTTAGATTGGATATTTATCAACTTGATCTTTTTTATAATTAATACTATATAATTGGTACTACAGATGGGTACATCCATGAAAAAAGTTGTATTTCCGGAAAATGTGGTTATGGGCCTTAAAAGATGGAGAGCCAGGGCAAGGAAAAATCTGAAAAAACATTACTCTGCTGCTAGCCCTTCAGTGGATGCTTCAGTTGCCTCTATTTCTTCACCTTCATTTAGTCTTGATGCTTCATACGCTGTAGGTAGTGATGGTCGGTCCGACGTTGAACATATTGCCATTGAAGTGGAGAATGGAGGAGAAGAAGAAAGCAGAAGCAGTTAAAGAACATGAAAAGATGGACTCATTTGGTGGGTTTGATTCTTTGAGCAGATAGCTTCTATTAGACATTTAGATGTACAATTTTGTTATTCTTTCATTTTTAGTATGATTTGGAATTTTGTATGCAGCAATCGGTTTGGGTGTTTACCAATTCCAAATTAAGTTGCAATTTTGTGTGTATATAAAAGTTTTCTTCTTTTTATTATGAATAGATTTTTATTTTTTCAAATTCTCCTGGATAAATATAAATTGAAATTACATTACCATGCTACTTTTCTTTTAGAAATATTTAGATATATAAGTCGAAATAGTTTGTAGATATTATGTAAATGATGTTTAGCCTAGCGGTACAAGCTGAAGTCCTGAGATCAAATTTAATCTCACTCTACTTTTCCTCTTCATGACTTGAAGAAGAAGAAAATAAAACGAGTCAAACCCCATCTTAAACCCTCCAGCCATTGTTGAGTACTGATTCTGTTCCTAATCAATAATAATTAAAAGAAAAAAAAATTCTTTTTGGTCTATTTGAAGAAAACCAAAAGCTGAGCAAGAACAAAAGACAGGATTCGCCAAAGGTATAAGCTTTTTTTTTTTTCATCTTTTATCGGCTCTGATAAATTTCTGTGCATATTGTACGATAAAGTTCATATCTTTTTCCTAGCACAGATCCACATCGCATGTTTTGTGCTTCGAAAATGTATTACGTGAAAATTTTGATATTGTCTTTCTAAATCACTCTTTCGGTCCTTTTGAGGCATATATGATGGATATGAAGAATTTTTAATGGCCCAAGGGTGGCAAAGGCAGTTTACACACTAGTTACGTTTGGACTTGGAGGGCTTGGTGCGTATGCTGCTTACAATAGCCTGTACAACGTCGAGGGTGGGCAAAGAGCCATTGTGTTCAACCGCGCATTTGGCATCTTGGACAAGGCAGGCTAATTCTTTATTAATGTGTATCAGTTTTGAGTTATGTTAATTCTCTATTAATTGACAATTGACAGAACGAAGTTCAATTAGAAATTCTGGAAGTGCATTCTAATCCAATTCTATTGTTGAATTTCATGTAACAAAATAACTCATGGTTGTGCTATTTTTCCTCTCTTTTCCTGCATTGCCTGAATCATGACTATGTATTTTGACATGTAATGCACAGGTCTACCCTGAAGGAACACACTTTGCAATTCCTTGGATCGAAAGGCCAATTATCTTTGATATTCGTTCACAACCCCAACTTGTTGAAAGTACCTCTGGCACTAAATGAGCTCCAAATGGTAAATATTATCTCATTCGCACCATTGAGATTAAGAAAATGCTAATAGAAAAATATAAAAGATTTAAAATGATTACATATCATTAACAGTTATTATTTTTTTTTATTGTCTCTTAACTTTGTTAGTTGTCTTGTCGTGAACTACGCCGTATCTATGAGCAAGAATCCATTGTTGTTTTAGGCTAAGAGGTGCAGCTTTCTTTAATCACTCTACTAACTAGCGCCTGGAACTGCAAGTGCTAAAAGGCCAATATAGGGCTTAGGGTCCATACTCATCCTATTGAAGATCAGCTGCCTTCAATCTATCGAACTCTTGGCAAGGAATATAAGGAGAGGGTCATGCCTTCAATAGTTCATGAAACTCTCAAGGCTGTGATTGCACAGTACAATGCTAGCCAGCTTATCACTCAGAGAGAGGTTGGCCGCTATTTTTCCCTCAAAATATTAATCAACTACTGTTTAATATTGATATTATTAGAAGGTTGTCCTTGTAGAATTTGCAAGTAGCAAAAAGTGATTATATACAGTGCTGTAAAATCTTTATGGGTTGATTTTTCCATTGAATGTCAGTAGGGAAATTCGGAAAATATAGTGAGAGAGGGCAGCTAATTTTAACTTTGAAATAGATGATGTGTCAATTACAGCACTAACTTTTGGGAAGAAGTTTACATCTGCAATTGAAGCAAAGCAAATTGCAGCACAAGAAGATGAGAGGGCCAAATTTGTAGTGGAGAAAGCTGAGCAAGACAAGAAAGGTGCTATTGTCAGGTACCATAGAAACTTTCATATAATGGGCTTCTTTTCACTTACAAAAGCTAATATCTTTCTCTCTCTCTCTCTCTCTGATCACCGACAAATTGAAATCACTTGTAATTAAGGCGAGGCTAAGAATGCTGAACTGATTGGTCAAGCAATTGCCAACAATCATTCGTTTCTTGCACTCAGAAAAATTGGAGCTGCAACAGAAGTTACTAAGACTATGTCAGATTCTGCCAATAAGGTTGACCTGAATGCTAATGATCTTATGTTGAACCTTCAATATTTGAACTTGGAAAACCGAGCCACCAGGAAACAACATTAAGCAGGAACTTAGATAATCAATTTTGAACAAATTTACGCTTCAACCGAGGCTTGAACTTGCAAGATGTTTGTTCTCTTCTATTGCAGTTACTTTAGCAAATGTGAATGGATTGACCAGTTTTTGCTTGTAGCATTCATTGTTTGCTGCTCTGAAATTTGGTTGTTTAGCTTCATTTTTTTAAGATTATGTTACTTTGATTTTAGGACATGAGAATCCAAGAATCTCTTAAGTTGAACGAGTAAATTATTCCCTATTTGTCATGTAACAACCAGAGTTTTGCCAAGTCAAATTGGAATTTGACCACAAACTCCATCATCTAGAATCCCGATGTAAACGCGTTGCCAAGGTAATTGCAAGTCAAATATTTCAGTCCCATATTTCTTCCAAGCAAACTTGCAACCCTTGATTTCTTGGTCAGTCTACCCAATCAAGAAATTAATTAATACTCCTAAATCTTTTGAAAACAACAGATAACTTTAAACAAAAAAAAAAAAAAACTCTTCAAATGCCACAATTATAAATTGAAGAAATGGGTAATCTTGAAATTAATTAAAATTTAAAATTTTTGAATGCAAGAATAAGACAATAGAGTTTCGGTTGGAACATATCAGTAGCAACAAGCAATAATTGTGACTTTGTTGATTGGAATGCACATTAAATAGGGGTCAACATTATTGAGATAGCTGTAAATGAATGTTCACGACAGAACCAAGTTGATTCTTCAAGGAATACTGATACATGAAATTGGAAACATGGAAAAATGTTAGATTTTGAAATTTTGGCACTGTAGGTTACGGTTTGGTCCATTGCATTTGAACCTTAACGTTTGAATACATGTTTTTTCAGTGTTGATATGTGAACACAAGAATTAGCATACAAATGGGAAAAATATGAATTGATAAATCGACTCCAAAGATCCTACGAAAAAAAGGACTTTCCCTTAGCCTTAGCCACTGTTGCTTTACATTCTTAAAAGGGAAAATTTAGGAACCTATTATTACTTATCAAAAGATGCTTTTTCAAATGGAAATTTCATGTCTACAGCTTAAGTAGCCGCTTGTCAAAAATTGCGGTGACCAACTTAATTTTGCATTCTTAGTCTTCACGTCAAGCATAACATAAAGATGTATGTATGTATGTATGTCTTTAACCCTTTTATATTCCAGTTAAGGGAACTTTGATTTGATGGACCACAGAAACTACTGTCCTGTCCAATCTCAACTTCACGTACCCAATTTTTCCACACAAATTTTTTTTAAGTCTAGCTAAATTCCTAGCTACTACTTGTTTGTCTAAAGCAGATGCAAAGTAAATGGTACACAATTTCTCTTTTGATAAAAGAAAGACAGCATATATTAAGCACATGTAACCCAACAATAAATTTAGGTAGAGGTTCGAATTCAAATTCAAATCTCCTGTTTCAGTATAAAAAAAAACAACTTATACATTTGTTTTATGGTTCATTTTTATTTAAAAAGAAATTATTTTTTTCTGGATCTGACTGCCATACATGTCCATGTGATGTGCTTCTTGTTAGTTAGGGATCACAAGTGTTAGATTTTATTGGTTGATCATAAAGCAAGGTTGCTGATGGAGAATTATGGCCTGCCCTATTGGGTTTGTGTTATATCACATGTATGAATTGAAGGACAAACTGACATTGGAGTCAAACCAAGCTACAGTAAAAATTTCATTCAAACTATTTTAGAATAAATAAAAATGTGGACCGTCTTGTAAGTTGTAATTAATATATGTAATATAAACTATAAAATATATTATTTTTTTAATCCAGCGAATTTTTTTCTCCCAGTAAGATTGATATATTTATTCACCCATATGAAATTAGTATAAAAAATTTGTAATTGACTTTTTTTTAAAAAAAATTTGTTACGTCTCTCTTTTTCTTTTTGGACAGTATAAAATATTTCAATTTCTCACAAGCAATGATTCTATAAAATAATGCGCATACTCATGCAACGTATACATTCTGAACCTTCCAAAACTTTTTTTTTTTTTTTTTTCTATTTTCTAATATAATGAGATCATCTTATCCCAATTTCCAAATTGCATGGCCTATGGCATAAGTAACAAACTTTTGGTGGGTCCAATAGTCACAAGTGTTTTATACGGTAATATGCTATAAACTATAAATAGATTTCTCTCTCTCTCTCTATATATATATATACACAAATCACTTTAAAAAAAAAAAAAAAAAAAAAATTTTCTTTCCTAAGTCGCACTTGATATTATTTATTCACCCATTGAAATATTACGTATTAAAAAAATTGTAATTGACTTTTTTTTTCAAAAAAAAAATTTTGTATCAAGCGTCTCTTCTTTTTTCTTTCTTTCGGGATCAGTATTTAATTAATATTTTCAATTTCTCACAAGCCAATGATTCCTATAAATTTAAATGCCGCCATACTCATGCACACCGCTAACACATATACTGATACCTTCCATAAGAACTTTTTTTTTTTTTTTTTTTATTTATCATAAGTATATATGGCATCATTCTTTTATCAATTTCCAAATTGCTCTGGCTATGGCATCAAGTAACTATCAAACCATTCTTTGGTGGGCTCTAGTCACAAGGTGTTTTACTACGGTATTATGCTTATAAACTCATTATAATTGATTTTCTCTCTTCCTCTTCTCGCTATCATATTTATATACACCAATCACTTTAATAAAACAAAAAAAAAAAAAGTGTAATGAAAAATATAGATGAACCGGGTAACCATTTAACCATATATATTTTTATAAAAAAAAAAAAAAAAAAAAAAAGTGTAATGAAAAAATATAGATGAACCGGTCAACCAATTACCCATATATATTTTATAACACATGTATATTTTTTTTTATTTCTTTTTCTTTGTTCTCTTTAAACTACTTGAAAGTCTACTTTGTACCATGATGAAAGAAAAAAAATATATTAATATGCAAATGTAGTTGTACTATAACGAAACTAATAATTAATTTCATAAATTTTATAAAGCTATATATACGTTGAGCATAGAAAAGTATTTTAAGATTTGAACTAAAAGAAAATATCCTTCATCTTCCTATTTCATCATTGTTTAGGTCAGCAAAATTGAATAAATGTCCCTCATGCACCATGCTAGCTATCTTCTCTATACTATTAATTGTGGATGTTGATGCTCTTTTATCATACTACTTATTAGTTACACTATCACTACATTTTACAAGGAACAAATGCTATTCTAAATTAAAATTTTTCTTTTATAAATTTTTAATACTAAGTTATAATAAATGTGATGTCAAGATATTAATAATTTTTCTATCATAATTTCTAAATAATAAAAATGTTTAATCTTGAAAAAAAAATGTATTTTTCCATCATTTACATTTTTTAAAATTCAAGGAAATAATACACGTGGGTAATGTATTTTAATTGAGCAATCAAATAATGAAAAAAATTAATAAAATTTTTGTGACTGAATTACTTTAGGTTGAACAATCCTAATTTAATACTACAACATATATAGATACAAATATCTACTAAAACATTTATTATTTGACAACGAACTTTGTCCTTTTTAGTATTGACAACAAAGTCTATATTGTTTTTATCTTATCACATACAAGGTACATAAAAAAATGTTTCTCATGTGCACTCAGTTATTACCAACATTACCATCAACCGATATAATTCATTATTATTTTCTCTCTTTTTTTGAAAAATTAATTAGTTCATTTCTGAATTTTAAATTTATAAAACCATTTAGTTATTTTTATCTAAAAACACTATTTTTACCATTATTTTTTTTATAAATGTATAAAAATGCTAAAAGGGAAAGATAAAATAAGAATTAGAGTAAAATTTGAGGGACTAAATAGTAGTTTTCTTGTGATGTTCTTGTACCACAATGACCATGATATTACTGTGCAGCCTCCGGCAAGATTTAAGAAAAAATTTGAAAATAAAACGGATAAAAATTGGAAGGGAAAGAAGAATGCAGCCAAAAACCAATATCCAGGTCACTGTCGCAGGTGGGTCTCTTGGTATCGTCATCCTACATCAGCGAAAGAGAAAATAGACTTTTGCAACACGTGGCTTAAAAATGACAGGATGGCCTTCAATACATGGAAAGCCACGTTGGCATGCATCATCAGAAACATTATCCAATTTCATGTGGCAAAATGCACATGTAACGACGATGTACGGATATAATGGTGTTCCACCTCCATGTGGCGTCAATCTAGGGCATCTCGTTCTCATTGATGACGTGTACACGCTTCACCCCTCAATCGGCTTTTGTAGTTTTGTCTCTTTTTAAGGTTGGTCATAATCCGGGGCCTCTCTAAATTTAGATATTTTGGACATTTAAAATAAATTTTCAATCTATAAATAATATTTCAAAATAAATTTAATATTCTTTTACAAAAAAAAAAAAAAATATCAGAACAATTTAACAACTAATTTCTTTCAAATTTCCATAATAATATTTCAAAATAATATTAATATTCTTATTTACAAAAAAAAAAAAAAAAATAACCAATTCTTGTTTTAATTCACTATATTCCCAGTTGTAAACTGAAGTTCAATATCTTTCCCCAATTCATTTAAATTAATAAAAATTGATAATTTTTGGATAAAAAGGTATAATATTCTTTTAAAAAAAAAAAAAAAAATACCATTCTTGTTTTAATTTCATAATATTCAGTGTAAATGAATTCAATATCTCAAATTCATTTAAATTAAATAAAAAGTTATAAATTTGGATAAAATCATATAAAATTAAAGGATAAAAATATTAATTTCATGATAGCAATGGGCGGCATAAGTCTGATGATAGTAAATATAATGTTCTTTTTTTACATATATATAATTTAATATAAATTCTTCAAAGCTTATTAATTAATTAATGTCACTAGATAAGTTGATTAGATTAATGAGATGATGTAATTATCATTTCAATTGGGTCAAAAAAAGTTGTCAAGATATAGTAATCAATAAGACATCCATCGATTAATGCTGATATATATTCCATCGGTCTAATAAAAATAAACTCATTTTTCTTTTTTGTTTGTTCCAAATTACACATCTATTTTCTTTTCAAAAGCAGATAATTTCTATAGTTTTTTATTTTACTTTTATTTAATATGTGTTTTATATAAATATATCATTATCACCGTTAATAAAATCCTCAAACAAAGTAATTATTACTGTCACCTACATTAATTTTGAAATATGCACCTTTAATATATTTAATGTAATGCTATATTAATAAGAAGAAGACTAAGTAAAAATTTATCAATTAAGATTCATATTTACTATATTTGTTTAATCTGTGTAAATTTTAAATTTAAGAAATACTTTTTACCTTTATATGGAAAGGGAGGAAGGAAATTTATATGGGAAGGAAGGAAGGAAGGAAAGAAAGAAAGGAAGAAATACCTGTTTCCTCTTAACATGAAACCAAATAATTTTATTCATCAAATTTAACCTCTCAAAGGAAATGCCTGGCATATAATTAATTAAGATAATAAATATATAAAAAAATTAATTATTAAAAGTAGTTTTTGTATTTAATTGGTAGGGAAAAAGTCTTTTTTTGGAGCTTGCATAGCTTCTATATTAGTTTCATGAAAATTGTTTAAAACTTTTTTTTTTTAACAAATTTGCCGTTCTGGTTTTTATTTTTTTATTTTTAAAATATAGACAGTTGGAAATGTTATTAATATTAAATATTTTTGGCCGCATACGCATTCAAATGGTCACAGTATGAGATGTAGTAACTAGGAATCCGTCTACCAAGCAGTGACGTTAAACCACGTTACCCACAGTATCTGTGACGTAAAAGAATGCGTAACTGCCGTTGACGTTAGAGTCTTCTCATTTCCCTCTATTAAAATCCCACCAATCTAATCTCTCTCCCCCCCCCCCCCTTTTTTCTTTCCCTCTATTTAAAATCCCAGCCAATACGTGAATCTCTCTCCCACCCTCCACCCCCCCCCTCCCCTCTCACCAAAACAGACCCCCCCCTCCCCTCTCACCAAACAGACAATCAACAGGCACAAAAGCCTCATAATTCTTACATTATTTGATCTCATGCAAGAAGCAATCCCATTTAGAACATACATCCCGGCCACCGCCACCAGCGGCGTCAACCGGCTGTTTCCTCCGCGCGATGGCGGCAGTACTAGCGGTGGAAATGTGGTAGAATTAGCCAATGGAGAAAATTACGTCCAAAAATTGGTATTAGAGAATTCAGTTATAGTGTTCGGCAAACGTGGATGTTGCATGTGCCATGTCGTAAAAAGATTGCTATTAGGTTTAGGTGTCAACCCCACCGTCTTCGAGGTGGATGAAAAGGAAGAAGCTGCCGTGATCAATGAGTTATCGATCATTAACGGAAGGAAAGACGTGGACGGAGGTGAAGTGCAATTTCCGGTGGTTTTCGTCGGAGGAAAATTGTTTGGTGGACTCGAAAGAGTTATGGCAACTCATATTTCTGGTGAGTTGGTCCCTATCTTGAAAGAAGCTGGGGCTCTGTGGCTATGACTTAATCCTAAATTTTCTTTTAATTCTCTTTTTAATTTAAGTTAATGTTCTGATTGGGATGTTAATTCTTTCTCTCAACGAATTTTAGAGGGAGGAATTAATAAATATACATATATAAATTAATATATAGGATTTTTATTTTTATTTTTATTTTTATTTTCTTGCCGTCTCATATGAGCCTTTAGATCATCTAATTTTATTTCAGATCTTGGATTCTTGAAATTTGGGAATTATGAAGACTCTCTTTCTCTCTCTCTCTCTCTCTATATATATATGAATGTAACTTTCCAGCTGGAATGTTGATCTCTGTTTGGGTTCAGCCATATTGGATTGACTGGCATCAGTTTCATTCTTTTTCTTTTTTTTTTTTTCCCTTGTAAAAAAAAAAATCTCAATTAATTTATAATGTCTATCTTATCAATTTATGACGTGGAAAATGCAAGCAGCATTATATGTATTACCAAAACTGATGAAAGAGGTAAGAGCAATCCTTCTCGTGTCAAAAAAAAAAAAGAAACACTGATGAAAGAGATATATAGAAAGTAGTTTAAGACGATAAGACATTTTAATTTAAGAGATAACTTTCCTAAAATCATTTGTTAATAATTAATTTTATTCTAAATTTTTTTTATTAAAATTCACCGGTATTGTCATTACAAAAAAAAAAAAAAAAAAATTCTTAAATTTTTTTTTATATTAAAATTACCGGTTATTGTCATTACAAAAAAAAAAAAATAAAAATAAAAAAAAAAAAAAAAACACTGGTATTGTATTTATCATGTAATTAGAATGAAGGATTAATTAATATTTTGCAAAATTGATTTGCATAGATTAATTAATATTAAAAACAAATTAAAGAATCATTATCAAAAAAATATATTTGGCAATTGGTGGATTAACAAATAATTAATTCACCTACTAATGAGTCCAGTTGAAGATATGTTAAGGATTAAAATTAAAAAATTAAAAGGAAAATGCCTCCCTAACGTGTCTATGAGAGATTAATTCTGCCTAGACAAATCCTAGGGTTCAAATCAATTGCATGAGTGATTTTTTTTTTAAAATAAGAAAAAATAAAAATTAATATCTGTTAACTCAACTGATGATGAAAGCACAGTAATGTTGAATATTTATGGTGGAATAGTTGATTTGGCAAATCAAAAAAAAAAAAAAAAAATAAAAAAAATTAAGAAAGAAGAAGGTTGACACGATCCCTAATGACTAGTACGTTTGTGGTTCCTTTAGGTCCAAACTAGGTGTCGCGTGAATTGTAATTAGGATGCAAAAAAAAAAAAAAAAAAATTAAGAGAGAAGATTGAACGAGCAATAACGTGTGTTTAGGTCATGGTGGGTGATGTAATAGGATGGGGAAATCTCATGCTTCATGTTACAGAAATCCAAATTAATGAGAAACCTCGAGTTTAGATTTTTTCAATTATAAATATTTTTATAAATTTGGTGAATTTAAAAAAAAATTACTCTTATTATGTAATCTATATATTATATAATTCGCAATGATATTTCGGCCATCTAATTTTTCGGTTAATTAAAAAGTGGAGAGAATATGGTGTAGGGATTATCCTCTCGTCACCCATTAGCAAAGTGGGTCAGGTGAGGCATAAATATTTAAAAAATTATTATCCTACTAGTCACTGCATGCATCACTTAGTAGGTTGAAAATTTGTACCTACACTATTGTTACAAGATTGAGTTCAATCTGTACACAATCTTCCATGTTTTGATTTTCTTTTTTAAATTAAGGGTTATAAATTTTCTTTGGACTGACTATATATATTAAAGATTTCTCTTTTTTGATAAATAGTGTAAAGATTTTTAATTCTTCAATAAGTGCTTTTTTGTAAGAATTTAAATTTGTATTATGATCACTTTTACAGAGATTGAAATTATTTATTACTTTAATTAATTTTTTAATTGCTTTTTTTAGTTATTCAATCATTAATTGGCTATGAAAATTTTAAATAAAATCAAGATTTTGAAGTTATGTTTATTAGCTCTAAATTTTCAAACAGGATTCTTTTTATTTTTATTTTTTTTAGGAATAGATTCTTTTTAAAGTTTGCAATTAATTCATATTTTCACCAAAATTCCTGTTTTTTTTTTTTCCCATAAATATTTGAATATTTGAATTGCAGATAATATCCGTGTTATCCATCTGCTGCGACAACGAGTGCAAATATCATGTCGTGGCCTTCGTGTGATGGGACTATAGTAAATATCATATTTTACACGTGTTACCAATGATTAACTTCTCCTAATCTATCTAACTCCATAATTAGGAAACCGTACATAATTAATTAAGGGAAAAGCCCAACTAATTTGACCAAAAAGGGGGTTTATCTTCTGTAATTAAATTAATTACACACGTTACCTTTCTTTAGCAAATGCATTATCTTGATTTAATTGGACAGACCTAATCCTTTTAGGTGTTTCACTGTTTCGTTAATTAATCAAAAAATAGCAATCTCTATTCCATTAAATTTGATAAATTTTGATATTTATTTTATTTTATTTTATTTTAGATGATACTTTTAAAAAGTTAAGTTACTATTAATTATTTTATTTCAATTTTACCCTTATTTAGATATTTCTATTAAAAAAACTTTGCTTTAATTAAAATTAAACATTAATTAAAAGATAATCTAATCTATTATCATTAGTTTTTAATATTAAAGTAATTGAATCATTTTTTTTATTTATTGTGCAAAGTAAAAAATTATTAAATTTAACGTAACGAGAACTACTAATCAAAGGCAAAGATCTCCCAATGCTATGCATAAAGATTTAGTTAACAGAGTCAAACCCTAATCGTCATTAGATTAAGAAAAAGTTGAATGCTGATGTATTAGTGATTTAAATAATAATAATAATAAAAAAAAAAAAAAAAAAAAAAAAAAAAAAAGTAAAAATTATTAAATTAACCGTACGAGAGATCTTACCTAATCAGGGCACAAGATCTCCCAATTGCTATGCGATAAGATTTAGTCAAAGTTTGTCAACCTACGATGCGTCATTAGATTAAGAAAAGATTGAATGCTGATGTATTAGTGATTAAATAATAATAATAATAAAAAAAAGAATAATATAAAAAACACACCACAAAAAAAAAAACACAAGAAAAACAGAGAGGCCATTCTTCTACGTCCCTTATGACCAGTCAATGGGTGTGCTAAGTTCTATGTTTGAGAAAAAAAAAAAAAAAAAAAAAAAAAAAAACAGAGAGCCATTTTCTAGTCCTTGACCAGTCAATGTGTGTGTAAGTTTATGTTGGAATGTTTTGTCCAACCCCATTAACAAGACCTTGTTGCCAATTGAACCAATCCAGAGGCTTTTATAGTCAAACTTAGCTCAATGTTTGGAAGAAACATATAACATCCAAAAATTAAGTTTGGAGACTTTTAGGTTTGTGTTTTTTTTTTTTTTAATTTTTTATTCTACTCATTGGGATTTGATCTCAATAATTTAATACGGTGGAAAAAGTTAAAATGATTAATTATCACTCTAGCCCTTAATTTAAAGGACGAGTTCGGCGAAATGCAATGGAAGTAATATGAATATTCTCCAAACAAAATGTCCTATTACATTCTTTTTTTTTTCCTTTAAGCGAAGTAATTTAGTTAGGATTCTAATCCTTAAAATTAATGTTGTTTAGGTTATAAACAAGTCATGTTAAGCTGAGCTGAGATTTTTTACGAGAATTAATGAAATAATCAATTATTATTTGTTTTAAAATAAAAAATAATTTATAAAAATAATTATTATATATAATATTGAAACAACTCGAATTTTTATTTTCAAAGATTTTCCAATTAAATTTAATAAACCGACAGCTTGGAAATTTATTTTAATATTTTAATGTGAACTTGTGGGAAAGCCGAACCAAAAATCGATTGAAAACCCGTGTAAACCAATTGGAAAACTGAAGATTTGGCCGAAACCGAACGCGAATCGAACCGGTCGACCCAAACCATCTAGAATTTTCTTTTCTTCTATTTCTAAGCGCACCTCACTCCCTTCCCCTGTTATTTTTCCTTTTTCGCGCTTCCGATTCTCCGGCGACACCATCTCGCGCACCTTCTTTCCTTTTCTTCTTCTTCTTCTTCTTCTTCTGCTTCTTTTCTTTATCTTTCTTTCTTTCTTCTTCCCCTGTCTTCTTCCCTGGCACCGCATTCGCACCCACTTGTCCAGCAGCTCCAGCAGCTCCAGTCGAGCGCCACTGCCTTTCTCACTGCCGACCGCTCGGCACTGGAGCAGCTTCTGTCGCGCGTCCGCCTTTTCCTAGCTCAGCGCAGCCCACAATCGCACAGTCAAGGCCTCTGTCAGGTTCTGGCGCGCCCACAGCCAGAAGCTCCAGCTGCAATTCGCTGCCAGCCGCCCTTCTTTCGCCGCTCTCCGCCTCTCTCCGCCACCTGCTAGGTAGATCCGGCCACAAAGCAGGTGGCTGCCCGTCACCCGGCAAAACTCCCATCTAGCAATTGACAACAACTATATTGGGGGTTATAATTAATTTGAAATACATTTAGTTAAGTCGATTTATTTTATTCATTGATTAGTTAATTTATATTAATTATAGTTAATTAAAATTTAGTTAGTTTAATTTTAATAATTTTAGTTAATCTAGTTAATGTTAGTAATATTAGTTAATTAAATTAATTTTATTATTTGTAGTAGATTAATTTAGTAATGTTAGTTAATGAAATTAATTTTTATTATTTGTAATTAATGAGTTAGTTAAGTTTAGTTAAGTTAATGTTAGTAATGTTGGTTAATTAAATTAAACTTATTACTTTGTAGTGGATTAATGTAATTAATTTAATTTGGTAAATGTGGATAGTTAATAGCTTTGTAATTTTAGTGTTGATTTAATTAAGATTAAGCATAATGTTATTGTGTGGTGATGTTGAGATTGATGGAGGATGGAAAATTTGATTGTTTGATTGACCGATGGATAGGCTGTGTGGTTTGGAAATATTAGATATATTGTTGATATTTTAACAGGTGGATAGTCCAATTTTTAGGGGAGATGCTGCCGAAATTTCGGTAGAAATTTTAATAGAAAATAAAATAAGAAATAAAATATAATTCAAACGAAAACAAATAAAATAGAGCTAGATAGAAAGATAAAATTTTAGTACAGAAAAGAAATTAGATATCGAGATTAAATTACGTAGAAAAATTTAGAATATAAAATAAAATTCTTAGAAGGGTAAGGAGATATTTTGTCTGATATAATTATTTCTTTTTGTGTCATTCTTACTTTGCTTAGATCGCCCAGGTCCATCTAGTGCTCCTCCAGGACAGAATCAAAGCTAGGACTTCGCTCTCCCTCACTGTGAGTAATAATAAATAATGCATATCAACATTGCATTTGCATAGTAATTATTTCCTAAATATATATTATGTCACTGTTACTATATAATTATATTTATGATTGTACATTTGGATGTATTTGGTGTATTACTTTGAAAGCATTGTTTGATTACTTGTGCTGTGCTATACGTTGCCTTGTTTGTGTGGAATTGGGATGAAGATGTTTTGATTACTTGTGCCTGTGCATATACTGTGCTTTGGTTTGTGTGGAATTAGGATGAAGATGGGTCCATGGGTTTGTGAGACTGTTTTCTGTTATAACCGGATTCCTGATTCTGATTTCTGTTATATTCTTGATTCTGTTATATGGATTAATTCTGTTTCTGTTACCGGGTAAATGGGAGATCGGCGCCCCTTGTGGCACCTGATAATCTGTTTGTTTCTGAACACAGGGATCTGGCCGCTTGTTGTTTGCGCACTCTGAAATCTAGATTTGATTGCAGCCCCAGGGTGGCCTCCTGTTGTGAGCGCTTTGATGATCTAGATTGGATGGAGACGCCCCGGGTTGCCTCCTGTTGGGTAATAAAAAAAAAAAAAAAAAAAGAGAGAATGTAAAACAATGAGAGGGCTGGTCAGTGAGGATTTTTAGAGCCGGCCGGCCAGGTATGGGGATCGGCTCCCTGGTGCACAATGTGAGCAGGATGAACATGTGGGGGACGATCTCATCGGGGGTTCGGTGACTCCAGCTGACTAATTTCACGTGATGTGATTTTTTGTGCGAAGGTGATTTGTTTTGGTGGGTGGCTGATGTAAGTCAATGATTGACTGTTTGTGTGTTTCATTCAGTATACTAGGGTGATTTTTGCTTGACTGTAATGTGGTTGTGTATTATTATTATTATTCACTAGTTGCAAAACTCATGCCCCCTTCTCTCCAAACTTCTCAGGTATTAGGAAGTTGCCGATCCAACGGAAGCTCTACAATCTTCTCCGTAGAGTTATAAATGTAAACTTTATATTTCTGTTATTTAAATTTGGATGTAGTAATTATTCTATTATTTGATTATTATTGAACTCCGCAGTTATAGGATTGTGTATTTTAATTAGGCTTGCCGTATGCGTTCTTTTGGAATGACATGTTATATATTAGACGTAGGCATTTTAGTATACCCATATTCTGAATATGACTTATCATGATTAGGCCCAAATTAAACTTCAATTGAGATATTTAAATTTTGGGCCAGATTGTATAATAATTATATTTAAACCCTACTGGTATGGGCTTACTGTTATTATTCATTGGTGTGACTGGTGTTAGTAGAGTAGTTTAGGCTTACGACGGGCCTCGGGGCCTTAAGCTTACCGGGGCCTTAAGCTTACCGGGGCCCTAGTGCCGGTCCGGCCTATAGTATCGGGTCGTGACAACAGGTCTCCTTGATTATGTCGGCGGACAGCCAAAGCGTCCTCCCTGTTACCGCAAACCATCCCTAATCCTTTTGGGGGTGGCCCATGAGTATGCGTACTGTCGGACCCATAATAAAGTATAATACGGAAAAGTATGTTAATTGTCTTTTTTGTGTTGTGGGGAATGTATGGTAAGAATGTTTAATAACATTGTTTTGTTTGGTTTTATGGTAGAGGAAGATACTGTTAAATATATATATTACAAAAATACCGCTGTCATGAAAGTTTTATAAATATAATTATGGATAATTTTGAAAATTAAAATTTTTAATTTTACTACACTCCAATTCGGAGCGTTGAAAATTATGGTATTTAGACAGTTTTCAACCCTTCAAATAACTTTTAAAAAACTATACTTTCACCCAAACTCTCATTCCAAGCCACTAAATAATCTCGACCACTTTAATATACTCTTCAAACTTATTAAATAAGTTCCGTCCAAACAGTCTTTTAAAGAGTTTTTTCTAGATTTGAACCAAAAATTGGACTGTACGCTTGTTCTTTCTATTGCTTTTGATTATCAAAAAGCGGGCTCTAGAAGGCCGAATTTGTTTTGGGCTTGAAGGCCCGCGCAGTGCACCTCCGATTCTTTTTCTTTGTTTTTTTTTTTTTTTTTTTTTTTTTTTTTTGAGGGTATTTTTTTTTTTTTTTTTTTTTTTGAGGGTAGCAGTCCGATAAAAAAAGAAATAGCAATGCATCAATTTTGCCAACTAGATTACCCTTAGGATTAAAAACGATTTTGTTTTATTGATATAACAGCCAAGAACTAGGCAGGTAAGTCTCATAAATATCTCAAAATCAGTTAAAACTCATCGGAGCCATCTAAGTTAATCTCAAGAGTTTCACATGCCGATTCCAAATTCTTGTACCTTACTATTATTATTTAACTACTCGTTAATTACCTATTCTTTATTTTCATTTTTGTTCCTTTCCATACGGCATGACTTTCTCCTACCTTTTTTTAATTTCTCGACTCCAATTCCATTAATCGCACGTTCAAGCATCATACGACAGCCATACAAGTCAGTTACTGCTCTGGCTTCCTAAACTATGCAAGGAAATGAATGAAAATTACGAAATCTTAATTTTGCTTCAGACTGACTTTTAACAGACTCTATCCACCTACATTGGCAGAACACATTTTCTATACAAATTTTTCTGGAGTTGATTGCTGAGAAAATAAATTGACAGACACAGATAGATATGTTCTGGTCCTTCTGTTGCTTAATTGACTTGACTACTGTAAGCAAGTTAACAAAAATCCAAGACTGGTCAATTTTTTACCAGTAATTTTTCGTTGGCGAGCATTGACAATGGTATCAACATCATAGAGCAGGAACATTTCAGTGAGACCTTTCATCTAGCAACTCGTAGGCATCTCGTTAGTAGGAAGAAACTGCAAACTCATTATAAAGGGATGTCGTTTAATCTTACAAAAGAACCGGTCGTTGAGACGAACGACAGAACGAGCAGAATGCAGCAATAGGCATACTTATTATTTGAAGCGCAAGTATGTCTTTTTCTATTTATTTCCAAATAAAAAATTCGGTTAGCATATGATCTATCTAGCTGTGTAGCTTTGTTTCCACGCTGTCGTTCTGTGTTGAGGTTTGGGAAACCACGTAGCTTCTGCGAACTGACCAAATTGCCCTTCATTTTTATCTTAATCACCTATCGCGATCATACATTATTGTGGTAAATTCACCCCTTTTTGGGAAACTTTATATTCAGGGCCATCTCGATATTTTTTTTGCCCCTTCTGAAGACAAAAGCATCCCTTCTTTTCCAGAGTTGGTTGGGGCAATCTCGATTAAGTCCATTACAGTAATTTCACTACTTCCTGTGAACTTTATAAAAATAATAGAACAAGAGAGAAATTATCTCCTCTTTCCCTCTTCAATTTTAAACCCGACTGACTAAGGAAGGTCGAAAGGGAAGGGAAGAAACCGAAAAAGGCAGAAGCAGAGAGCTATAAACTAAAGGACAGCAGATCACAGAATTACCACCAGCAACACCACCACCACCACCACCACCATCACCACCAACAGGATGTTCAAAATCTTCAATAGAGGGAAAGAATCCGTCAGCGATTCCTCACCGCAAGCCTCAAATTATTCATCTCCATTGACATCGCATTCTTTGTCGGCGTCTCCGGTGACTGGGCCGGCGAGACCAATCAGGCTGGTCTACTGCGATGAGAACGGGAAGTTCCGTATGGATGCAGAAGCAGTTGCCACGCTCCAGCTGGTTAAGGAACCAATCGGCGTCGTTTCGGTTTGCGGTCGTGCTCGCCAGGGCAAAAGCTACATTTTGAATCAGGTAATTTTTCTCACATATATTTGCTCGAAGGCATAGTGAAAATTTTGGTTTTCTCTCCTTGCTGTTTTGAACTCTAGGGATTTGGTTGGTGTTTATTTTTTCTCCCTCCACTATATCTTCGTTTTCTAGAGGAGGCCATGTCGTTTTTTTTTTTTTTTTTTTTTTTTTTTTTTTTTTTTTTTTTTTTTTGAACAATTTTTTTTTTTTTTTTTTTTTTTGAAACAAATAGGTGCATAAATTCTGCTACTGAGACATTTTTTTTTCTTGTTTCTGCTAAGTCCCTCCCGAGGGCCCACATTTATTGTTTCTGCTCAGTTACTTGTGAGCAGTAGGAGTGAGGGTTTGTTAGGGTTGGCAAAGTGTTTGTTTTAACAATGGAAGTGAGTAGCAAGGTGTTTTTGGAGCTGCCTCTAGCAGTAAGTTGCATCCAAAGCGGAAACTTCTAATATAATCTAATTTCTAGATAGTCCTCAAATCAACTTAGCAGAGAGGTTGTTTATATGTTCAAGGTTAGCTGGCTGTTGTTTGGCCATTTTATCTAGGCAATTACAGGTGAATTGATAATAAGAGTCTACTCTTTCGGACATTTCTTTATCTTTTAACGCATTTTTGCTTCATGCTAAATGTGTTACTGAAGCGGTAAAATTTTGAAATTTTTTCCTCCGCAAACTCGCACCTTGCATCCTAGGACATCATTTACCTTGTAGCAATTTTAGTTGAATCATTTATCAATTTTAGAGGCCGTTTTACTAGACTTTGTTTATCGGGACTGTTATGATTAAAGTTCACATTTGTTTCTTTACCTGGTTCACATGACTGTTGAGATTGTCATTTATCAATTATTTTAATGAAGACCTATACTTGGGTATGTGCTGTAGCTTCTTGGAAGAAGCAGTGGATTTCAAGTGGATTCATCTTATAAACCATGTACAAAAGGACTGTGGTTGTGGAGTGCGCCCTTAAAGAGAACAGCTCTTGACGGAACTGAATACAATCTGTTACTGTTAGATAGTGAAGGAATAGATGCTTATGATCAAACTGTAAGTTTCATTTGCTTTTATGACAATATCTTTTCAGTCATTTATTTTCATTAGTTCAAGAACTAAAGGGTGACATGCTGGATTTCATTCTCTTAACATTTGATGATTGCATTTGTCTTTTAATTGATATCTCCTATTAACATATTGATTAATTTGTAATAAACTATTACACTTTTGCTGCTATGACACCTTCATTACCATATGTTTTTTCTTTGCCAGGGGACATACAGCACTCAGATATTCTCCTTGGCAGTTCTCTTATCGAGCATGTTCATTTACAATCAGGTTAGAAGACTTATGTCAAGGCCTTGGTCATTTTAACCCGCCCTCTTCCCAAACAAAACAGCACAAGCTGCAATTATATTTGACGTTTAAACATTGTCTCATTGGTACTTTTTGTTGGATCTACCATTCACTTACCTATTAATTTACTTCCATTAGATGGGTGGTATAGATGAGGCTGCACTTGATCGTCTCTCTCTCGTCACTCAAATGACAAAACATATTAGAGTGAGAGCTTCAGGAGGAAGGACTACTGCTTCAGAGATTGGAAGTTTTTCTCCTATATTTGTTTGGCTTCTGAGGGTATTGACTCTAAAATATTTTATTCTTGTGTGGCATATTATTTTTCTTCAATGTTTACATGTTTATAAAACATGGGTTTTTGATGTCATAAAATTAGTTGATTTTATATAATAAAAAAAAAGCTTACAAGGATGGCTTCTTGCAGGATTTCTATCTGGACTTGGTTGAAGATAACAGGAAAATAACACCCCGTGACTATCTAGAGCTTGCTTTGAGGCCAGTTCAAGGTACTGGAAGAGATATAGCTGCCAAAAATGAGGTAATATCAAGCATTGATTTAAGTTCTTATGCAAGTAATTTGATAAAAAAAATTCTCTCCAGTTATCCGAGTTAACTTTGAAGTTGTTAGCATTGCATTGCTTCTAAGTGGCAAAGATGCATTTGCAAAGGAACCACCATTTTGTCAAATGTGTTGGACATTATTTTTGTTCATATTAATTTCTAGGAATCCTTTACCTAGATTGAGATGAATCGACACTGCATTTTCTGATTCTTTTTAAAATTTTTTATATTTATGTTTGAGCTGCTAATTATGCAATAAAAATTATTGATAGATTCGGGACTCCATTCGAGCTCTCTTTCCAGATAGAGAATGCTTCACCCTTGCAAGGCCTTTGAATGATGAAGAAGATCTTAAGCGACTGGATCAAATATCGGTAAGTGATGTCTACAGCTCAGTGTGTGTTTAAGATAGTAACCAATGATTGGGTAGTAATCTTATGAGCCCAAAAAAAAAAAAAAAAATGATGTTACAGCTCAGTGGTGGTGTTTAAAAGATAGTAACACACATGATTGGGGTAGTAATCTTATGAGATACGCCAAAAAATAAAAAAAAGACGAGACGTTATTTTTGTTGTCTTTCACCTGTACATTATTCTTTTTCTCTATGTCTTGATGCAGTTTGGACAATTAAGGCAGTGTTCAGCAGCTGGCTGGATGCACTGACAAAGTTTGTTTTTGAAAGAACATAAAGGCCAATGCAATTTGGGGCCACATAATGACAGTGAGACCCGAGTTCTTGTAAGTAAATCACAGAAGTCTTGTATTATGGAGAAGGCTCTCAATGGTGCAACCGTGCCCCACAATATCCTCTTCATGGGCAGGTTTTGTAAATGTTTTTGAGTATCGTCATCTCGTCATGGGAAAAAATTTAAGGCAACAGAATCATGTTAACTAATATGTTCCCAAAAAAAAAAAAAAAAGAGAGACGTTATTTTTTGTCTTCCATGTACATTATTCTTTTCTCTATGTCTTGAATGCAGTTGGACAAATTAAGGCCAGTGTTCAGAGCTGGACTGGATGCACTGACAAAGTTTGTTTTTGAAAGAACAAGGCCCAAGCAAGTTGGGGCCACCATAATGACAGGCCCGATTCTTGTAGGTATCACAGAATCTTATTTGGAGGCTCTCAATAATGGTGCAGTGCCCACAATATCCTCTTCATGGCAGGTTTGTAACTGTTTTGAGTTCGTCTCTGTCATGGAAAATTAATAAGGAAAGATCTTCTACAATATGTTTCAGCCATTATAAAGTTGGTTTCAGAATATTATATGAAATTGGTTAAATTAGTATCAATTGAAGCTTTCATGAACACTTACTACGGTTATGTATATGCATTTCCAATATGGACTGTGGAGCCTCACCCAGATGTCATATTCTCTTGATTACTGGTGTCAATGGGTTGAATTCATTGTCATATGAAACAACTGAGAGGCCTCTCTTTTCAAAAGGAAAAAGAGAAGGAAAAACCATTCCAACTAGATCTGTTTCTTATCATGGTTAGTAAAGTAAGAATAGAAGGAACAAGTAAAGAGTAAGATTCTTGTGCTTTGATATGCATAACAAATTATAGTTAAGGAGAGAGGTAAATCTTCATGTGCCTTGATGCCACCACCTAGCTTCATCACCTTTCTAAGTCATGCAAAATCTTTTCAGATGGATAATCTTACAAGCTAGAATCAGGAGTTATATTCTTACAAAAAGGTGAAAGATCTTGGATTAGAATCCAGGGCTAAAATAGAAGATGAATTTTTTTATTTTATTTCAGAATCGATGGATATTTAAATTTCACATCTGCTAACTTGTGTCTTGCGCGCACATAAAAACTGCTATTTGCATTCTGAGGAAGTGGAGCTTCATCCATTTGGGTTTTGATGAAATGTCTTTCTGGTTATTCTATGTGCTTGATAATGTTGTCTCTTGAACTTTTCTTTCCCTTCTACTCTGCTTTGCGTTTTCCTTGTTAGAACTAGGTATATATGATATATAGCAGACAATTTTTTTTCTTCATAATAACTTGCAACTCTGAAAAGAAGTTCACTGTCGAAGTTGTTATCTAGCTTTAAATAATACACTTAAAGTGCTGCGATTTCTTTGTTCTTTTTTCAGAGTGTTGAAGAAGCTGAGTGCCGAAAAGCTTATGATGCTGCCATCGAGGTTTATACGTCCACCTTTGACCGATCAAAGCCACCTGAGGAGGCAAGTGGATCTTTTACCCTAATTATTTTTTTCCATGATTTTATTCATTTTCTAATTTCAGTAATGGCAGATTGCTCTGAGGGAAGCACATGAAGAAGCAGTTCAAAAATCACTTGCTGCATTTAATGCTAATGCTGTAGGGATTGGTACAGCAAAGAAAAAATATGAAGCGCTTCTCCAGAAGTTCTTCAGGAAGACATTTGAGGTATGGATGCTTAGAGCATGAGGTGTTGAATGAATGAATCAAAGACTTTGTTATGGTTATTCCATTTTTGCGTTGTATGTGGTGCGGCTAGAACATTCTCGTGCTTGGAAAGTATGCTGTAGATTGTTGAAATTTCTATGCTGTAGTTTACATTAGAATGTTGAGGGCTTAAGCTATATTCTCAGATGGGTTTCATACAATATGGTTCTTTATTGACACTGGAGTGTAAAAGAATATAAAAAAAGGGAACAAAGAAACAAGTTGTAGTTGCATAGACCAGGAAAATCTTGTTGTTTATTGGGTATTGATACAGGACTACAAGAGGAATGCATATATGGAGGCAGAATTGCGATGCTCAAGTGCTATACAAACCATGGAAAAGAGGCTCAGAGCAGCATGTTATGCTTCTGATGCAAATATGGATAATGTTCTGAAGGTAAACATCCACTATCTGGTTATTCTTAATCAATTATCTTTTTCCTTTTATTTATTTATTTTATTTTCTCATATTGCTAATGAGGTTGTTGGTAAATTTGAGCTTGTTAGCTTCTATATATATGAAAGGAGAGCATAATTTAAAAGAAAAAAGTTGGTTGCATTTGATCTCTTTTGATGCTCAAAAATGTTAAACTGATCAAGAATATGAGGGATAAGGGTGCATGCATATTTCTTAATGTTCGTTATTTTTATAATTTTTTTTGGTCTCTGAATGATTTTCCACAATTTTGGTATATGTCAATTATGGCACTACTTGCAGTTCTACTCATTTGTGAATGCTATGCAGGTTCTGGATGGGCTTCTCTCTGAGTACGACACATCATGTCATGGCCCTGGGAAATGGCAGAAGTTAGCCATTTACCTACAACAAAGGTCCGTATGTCGCTCCCTGGCTTACTGACTTACCTTTTGGTCCTTTTTAGGTTTTGTATATTGACTTCATTCTGAGAAAACAAAAATGAATATTTGCTATTTGTAATCTCCAGTTTGGAAGGTCCAATACGTGACCTTGTCAAAAGGCTTCATGATCAAATTGGTTCCGAGAAGAGTTCCCTCTTGTTAAAATGTCGATCAGTTGAGGAGAAGATGGCATTGCTTAGCAAGCAACTGGAAGCTAGTGAGAAACACAAGTCTGAATATATGAAACGTTATGACGAGGCTATCAATGACAAGAAGAAGCTTGCTGATGACTATATGAAACGCATATCTGATCTACAGAGTAATCGCAGTTCATTGGATGAGAGGTGTTCTAGCTTAGCAAAGCAATTGGAATCTGCTAAGCAAGAAGCCTCAGACTGGAAGAGAAAACACAGCCAACTTTTATCAAAACAGAGAGCTGATGAAGACCAGATCAATTCAGAAATTAGCGTTCTCAGGTCACGGAGCACTGCTACAGAAGCCAGGCTGGCTGCTGCTCATGAACAAACTAAGGCAGCTGAAGAAGAGGCAGCAGAGTGGAAACGGAAGTATGACTTTGCTTTAACAGAGACAAAAACTGCTCTAGAGAAGGCGGCTCTTGTGCAAGAAAGAAAAAGCAAAGAAATACAATTGAGGGAAGATGCTCTGCGAGAAGAATTTTCTAGCCGTTTGGCTAAAAAGGTGATGTCTAACTCTCTCTTTCTCTCTCTCTCTCTCTCTCTCTCTCTCTCTCTCAAATGATTTGTACAACTGACAAATGTTGTATTCTGATTTCTGTATCAATGAATGTGCAGGAAGAGGAAATAAAGGAGAAAAATCTGAAGATGGAGGAAGCTGAACAGCTTTTGACAACCTTAAACTTGGAGTTAAAGGTTTGTTTATTATGGAAGTGAATTATTATCTCTCTCTTGTGGATTTATCTCTGTTCCTCTTATTCTCTCAGTACATTTGCGCACACAGTTTAGTAATCTCAAAATATGAAACACTAGATCAAAATATTAGATGATACTTATGACAAATTTGCAGGCTGCTGAGTCAAAAATCAAGAGTTATGATTCTGAAACATCATCCATGAAGTTTGAAATCAAAGAGTTGAGTGAGAAATTAGAGTCTGCCAATGCTAGGGCCCTATCTTATGAGAGAGAAGCTAGGATACTGGAGCAAGAGAAGATCCATCTGGAACAGAAGTACCGATCTGAGTTTGAAAGGTTTGCAGAAGTCCAGGATAGGTGTAATCACGCTGAAAAGGAATCCAAGAGGGCAATTGAATTGGCTGATAAAGCACGTGCTGAGGCGGCATCTGCTCAAAAGGACAGGAGCGAGCTCCAGAGAGTGGCAATGGAAAGATTAGCTCAACTTGAGAGAGCCCAGAGGCATATTGAAAATTTGGAAAGAGAGAAAAATGACTTGGCAGATGCAGTGGATAGAATGCGCATTTCTGAAATAGAAGCTCTCTCAAAGGTCTCACTTTTAGAGACAAGAGTTGAAGAAAGGGAGAGAGAAATAGAGTCACTACTGAAATCAAATAACGAAGAGAGGGCAACTAATGTTAAAGCCCTACAGGTTCTTCTGGATGATGAGCGCAAAGCCCATAATGCTGCAAACAAGCGAGCAGAGGACTTATCTCTGCAGTTGGAAGCAGCACAAGCAAAACTTGATTTGCTTCAACAACAGTTGACTTCAGTCCGTTTGAATGAGTCAGCACTAGACGGTAAGCTCAGGGCTGCTTCCCATGGGAAACGTATGAGAACTGATGATGCTGAGATGGGGGTAGGATCCGTTCAAGACATGGGCGCAAATGACAGGATTGTAAGACAGAGTAAGAAATCGAGGAGCACAACAAGCCCTATGAAGTACACACAGCCAGAAGATGGTGGATCAGTGTTCAAGGGAGACGAAGATAACCAGAGTCAGCAAACTGACCAAGAAGATTATACGAAGTTCACGGTGCAGAAACTTAAGCAGGAACTCACAAAACACAATTTTGGTGCTGAACTCCTCCAGTTGAAAAATCCAAACAAAAGAGACATCCTTGCTTTGTATGAGAAATGTGTTCTCCAGAAGTCCTAAGAGTTTTGATTATTTGACTTGTATATGAGGCTGGTGCTTGTAATCTACTGGTAGTTTAATTAATAGATCAGTGTGAGCTTAGAGGTAAGTTTAAGTTCTGAATGGGCAATTATCTTTAACGTTTGTATTGGGTTTGGAAAGTTGATTTGATGTAACTGTAAGGGGTTTGTTCATGGTGTGATGAGGGTAAAAAATCTTTTATTTATCTCCTTTACTTTTCTAAATTGAATCTATGAATAGATACTGGAGTTGATTGACTGTGTGATGATTGATGTAATTGACACTAAGAAAGAAGAGTGGTTTCTTTTTTCAAGTTTTCCATCTTTTGGAGGGTAGTCTCCGAAAATGACAGATAGAAAGTGGATCCATTTTTTCTCACTAATAGTTGTGTGCGTCCTTTCGTTTGTTTTCGTGCTGGTCATTGTAGATTGTTCTAGAACCTTCTCATCAATCATTACTAATTTCCTCACTTATTTTTGTTAACAGATCAGGAACTGAATTGGGATTTTTAATTCAATCCTCAGTATTTTTGAAAGCTGCCTTGCACCTCAAAATCAAGATGAATTCTTTGATAGGGCGATAGGCTTTTCGCATTGCAAGATTGATCATAAAAACTATGTACAGAACGGTGAATTTGTTATGTTATATAAACTTTTCCTAGCAACTCAGAGATAAACTTTTCCTAAGAAATCGAATCGATTTGCGGTGTTCCGATTGTGATTCAACTATCGTAAGCAGGCGGCCGACAAATATGAAAACAATCAGAACTAGGCAGCAGAAGAAAATTTTTTTGTCTCATGAAAGGGAAACATTCCTTCTTGTTTGGATGACAGGAAATATTATATTATTCGCTTTGAAGACAAATGATTGGCAGTTTCAAAATAAGATTTTCATTTCACCAGAAATCACTAAGGTGGGTTCATGCGTAGGTATAAAATTCACTAAATTTGCAATAATTTTGGAATCGAACTCAGAATTCTCGTTTCCTATATTTTTTAAGAGAAAAAGGAAAACCAACCAAACCACATGTAATTTATTTCAATTTCCATATTTTATTCCTTAGTTTGACCACGTATAAAATTGTACATGGAATTAAAAAAAAAAAAAAAAAAAAAAAAATGACAGGAAATATATATATTATTCGCTTTGAGACAAATGATTACGAAGGCAAGTTTCCTCAAAAGATTTTCAATTTCAACACCAATGAAAAGTCACTAAAGGTTGGATTCAATGCGTAGGTATACACATCTGAATATTCTAATTTGAAATAATTCTTGTGAAATCGAATCAGACATTCATCGTTATTTCCTATATTCTTTTTAAGAGAAAAAGGAAACCAACCCAAACCAACCATAATGTAGATCCTTAATTTTCAATTTTCCATATTTCTATTTTCCTTATTTAGACACGTTTAAAATGTATGGAATAAAAAAAAAAAAAAAAAAAAAAAAGAAGCAAGGAAGAAGAAAGATGCTTTAAATATAGTTGAAGAAGGCCATCCTAGAAAACATTACGTATAAAAACAAGAAAAGGTAAAGAACAAAACATCATCATTATTATTGAAATAAACATATATGTATTTTACTATATGTCTTCGAAAAAAAAAAAAAAAAAAAAAAAAAGAGCAAGGAAGAAGAAGATGCTTTAGATATAGTTGAGAAGGCAAATCTAGAAAACATTGCGTATAGCAACAAGAAGTAATAAGAACAACATCATAATTATTAATTGAATATCATATATGTATATATATGTCTGAGATACGATAAGTATCAAACATATTTATTCAGAAAAAAAGATTATAATTAACTGAAAAATACAATAATATCTGTATTTCATGTGAGAAAAAGAAAAAAAAAAAGAAGTTTGCATGATCACAAGCAAAATTACTGATATCTTGAAACAAAAACAAGTAGAAGTGCACCTCATTTCTGATATATGTATTTCTGGAAAAATTGGAGTCTTCAAGATTTATTTTATAAGGAGAGTACTGTAAATATTAAAGAAACAAACAAACAATAATAATGAAGTTAATCCCTACATCAAACTAAAAGTTATCTCTGTACATTTCAATTTCTACTAATTAAAAATGTAACCCACCACTATAACATTATTATCATCACATATTACCTTTGTTTTCCCTGCTTAATCATATACTAAACCCTACTGCAAAAATAAACAAGTGAAGAAGAAAAAGAAAAACTGTCGTTCATGAAGCTTAATCTTCCAATCAATCCGTACGTACCTTCACCTTATTCCCCGCCTTAATCCTCATTTTCACCAGCTAAAGCTATATCTCACTCTAATAAATAATTATATGTGTATGTATGCGATTGCTACATCAGAACAGCAGCAACAGCAACAACCAAAAACCAGTCCTTGTCATCCATAGCTAGCTAATTCTTTGAAGCTTTCCTTTGCTTGTTTCTGCAGTTAATCGAATATAGGAAGACCCATCACCTTCAACAACCAAATTTGGGATGAACTGAGATGGGCTTTCTCTGTTACGGCTTCCATGCCCATGATCATAAGAGATAAAAGCAGCTGGATTATAGTAATCAACAAGAATTGGATTCTTGTAATTAGTAGCTATAGGAATATTATTATTGTTGTTGTTGTTGTCATGGCCAATAACTCGATTTTTCAATTTCTGGTCGATGGTGCTGCTAGAACCGCATTGTCTAGGCTGAGTTTGGTAGAAAACCTTTGAAACGACCAACTCACCATCTTTTTCTTCTTCAGAGTTGCCAAGATGATATTGATGCATAACCCAGTTTGTCTTTTCAGGTTTTCTTTGCCTTCCATAATTTGTATAAAGAACTAAAATCTTTTTGAATCCTTTCACAGTTCCAGCTGAGAAAACTGGTCTTGTTTTTCCTGTTTTGTGCCATCTGGTCTCGCTCCCATCCTCTTCAGTATGCACTTTTCTGCGTTTTCTAGTTCCAGTTGTGTATGCCTTTGAAGGCCTATGAAAGAAGTGCCGGATTTGACCATCATTGCTTACTCCTGCAGTTATCATTACAATTCATCTTCATTTTAAAAAAATAAGGGGACTTCTAACTATTCACCAGAAAAAAAAAAAGATAAAACAGAAATAAATTTTAAAAAATCTTTATTTTTATTGATTTCATCCATAAATGGTTGGGTAGGTAGAATCTAAATAAGTTTTATCCTTTATAGAAAGTCTATTGGCTCAGATTATAATCTTGAATTTGCTAATTTTTCTAGATTTAATTAATAAAATAAATTAATTTTGCTAAAAAAAAAAAAAAAAGAGTGCAAAAAAAAAAAAAAAAGAGTTCTTGTTTCGAATATAGATATTATTTATTCCCATCGGCTACATACGACTATCTAAGCGTTCGGGTGGCATTCACCCTAACGTTACAAACTTTATCCGTTGAAATTCTTCAACATCCAGTCGGTTCGGACAACTCCTCACACTTAGTTTCACACACAACGCTTCATCCTGGTCCATTGGAATAGACAGATCACATTCCGGTTCGGGTTCATAATAACCGTGACAATGCCCTTATGAAGAACCTCGCTTTCCGCTACGGCATCCAAATGGGTTCCCTTAACCAAAAGCCACTGCCTATGAAGCTCCGCCGGACGTGCATTCTTCAAACATTCCCACGAGGCACGCGGTCAGGCCAGCCCGCGGCTACCTTACCACTGCTTGCGGACTTAATGGTTTCATGTTTCTAAGGTTCCCTTAACCAAGCCACTGCCTATGAGTCGCCGGCTCATTCTTCAACAGGCACGCGGTCAGAGCCCGGGCTCCTCCCACTGCTTGGGAGCTTATGGTTTCATGTTCTATTTCACTCCCCGATGGGGGTTCTTTTCACCCTTCCCTCACGGTACTACTTCGCTATCGGTCACCCAGAAGTATTTAGCCTTGCAAGGTGGTCCTTGTTGATTCACAAGGGATTCCATGTGCCTCATGCTACTCGGGTCAGAGCGTAAGTATATATATATATATATTAGTGAATGAAAGGACTTTAGGCTAAAAATCTTTTCCAATATAACACAAAATTTATGTTTTTAGGTACTATAAAAAGTCTGTGTTTGTTCTAAATATTATGGATTTAAAGGTAAAATATTGAGTTATTGATCTTAGATTATAGATAATGGTGAGGGGTTTGAAATTTACAAGGCTGATCTTGTTGTAATGATTTTTCATTTATTTGTTGTCAAAATGCAATATAATAATTTGAGGGCTACCTCTATATTATTTATGGATTGTTATTTAATTTTATTATTTTTACTTTTTTTTTTTTTGAAAATAGATTTTTCATGAAAACTTTATCTTCACATTTCAAATTGCCTTTTTAATTTCTTTTTATTTTTTCTTGTTACTTCTTGTTTTTGAATGAATTTGGAATCTTTTTTTTTTCTGCTTATAGATATTCTTTACTTTTAATTATTGATTTTTTATTTTCTTGTAAATATTTTAATAAATTGATGAGAGTGAATTTAAATTTATGTAAAAAAGGAGGGGATATGGAAATTAGGTAATGGAGTTAAAACAAGCATTACAAAAAAAAATTAAAATTTACAATTATATAAAACTTAAAATTGTTATTCTAAAACTATTTAATGGAAAACTTAACATAATTTTAAATAGTTAATTGAAATTAAAATGTAAGGACTATTAAAATAATATTTAAAAATAGAAATCCTTAGCTAATACATTATTTAGTATAATAAAAATACTAAATAGTATATAAAATACATTTGGGAAAGAACACGAAATAGAAATATGATATGTTTTTTTAACAAAATCATAGCAATTTTTACAAAAACATGTTAATTCATACACTCCACAAATAATATCCTAAAGGACTTACTCTGTTCACACTACATATAAAGGCCTGTTGGATTTATTTATTTATTTTTTTTTAAAGAGAATGACAAACATATGCACAAAATGAGGACATAATAACACATTTTTAATCTTTTAAATCAATTATAACAAAACATGCTGATTCATATATGTCTAAGGTGCAAAATGATTTATAGATTTAAGAAATAACAAGTTATCTCTCATATTAAAAGACTGACTAGAAATTAGACCCTTCACCTATAAAAGAGGCAATTAGCAATCGCAAATAAATTGCACACTTAAATTAGGTTGTTTACTTATAACATACTTTAAAAAAACTGGGCAAGAGAGAAAAGTAAACCCATGTGCTGTTTTATGTTTCTTTTAACTCTCTTACAAGAAATTATGCATAGATAAGGAGTATATGATCATCCAATGCACGAATTTCTCAACAATATTTAAAAGAATTAATTATCAAATTTGGAGTTAGAGTAGCAGAAGCATGCACCCAAAAATTGAGTGTAATCACATAGGGATCTAATTAATTAACAAGATATCATTCTCTCATGCAAGCTCTAAGCATTCTTAATCCATTTTCAAGGCTTCATTACAATATATATATAGCTGCTAATTAAGACCTAGTTATGCTATGGTTTCAAGAAAATAATCAAAGATCTAAAACAGAAAATTTTTAAAAGAAAAGAGAGTGAAACAAGTGGTTAATACCTGGTAGTTTCTCTGGATGTTTATAGCAAATTCCATTCTGTCCATCTATCGTTGGAATAAATTCATCAATTAGAGGATGAAGTTTGCGCATATCAGATAAAACTTTGGCCTCTAAATGCTCAAGTATTTCTTGGTCAGTCGGATCAAATTTAACTCCTGCTGGCAGTCCCGGTAAATCATTAATAATTCCACCTCCCTAGTAAATAATTTTTCAACAATCAAAGAATCAGACAAAAAGAAAGAAACAATTCATCAAACAAGAAGAGGACAATATATAAAAATGGGATCCAAGAAATGACTTACTAGAACAAAAAAACATTTATAATATTACCTGATCTTGTAATTCAAAACTATGGCCACAAGAAGGGCAAGTTATGCTTCGAATTTCATCAGTTTTGGTGTCAATTACAGTATTAATTTCTTTGTTGCTGGTTGTTGCTGTGACTAATTGAATCTCTTCTTCATCAACTGAGTTATTATTGCACCATGTCATTTCTGCACCTTTGCTCTTTGCCCATCCCAAAAAGAATCAAGATTCAAGACCAGACAGACAGATAGTACTAGCTAGCTGTCAATAAAAAAAAAAAAAAAGAAGAAGAAGAAGAAGAAGATTGAGATAAACACAGCTAAAAAGAAGGAAAAAGGAAGAATTGCAAGAAAAAGCAAAACTTGTCTCTTTTATAAATTACACGTTTTATGCGCTATAAAACCCAAAACCCACTTCTGGTATCTAGGCAAGGAATTTAATGCTTGTACAACTTTTCTTGCTTCTTTGATCATTCCTAGCCACTGCAGATTCTTCAACAGACAGAAAGGGGATAAAAAAAAACAACCAAGAGAGAAAGATGCAAGATTTGATAAAATAGGGTATAAAAAGAAAGAAAGTCGAAGGCAGATATTTATATATACTATAGTCTCTAGAAATAATTGGGTTGCTTGGACGTCAAGCTTGGATATTGTATTGTATGTACGCTTGCATCATAGAATATATGCAGTCTTCTTCTACAGATTGCTTTTAGGGCAAAATGTCTAAATTAAGGCTAGGATTAACATATAATTACTAAGTAATTTAATTCTTAGAAGCTTATTCATACTATAATTTTGGAAAGTTAATATATATATATATGTGGAAAGGAATTAATTAATGTAGGGTGGGGATGAAAGCTAGATGTTTTACCTCTTGGGAGAGAGATGGAGGGCTTTAGCTCTAGTGTCAACCTAGAGTATGCTTAAAGCCATACATGTAAAAATTTTTAGTATGTATCCCAACAAAAATGAAAATAACAATATGTATATATATATATATCACCTACTTGTATTGCAATTGTTTCTAATCCATTTCTTAACGTAGACTTCTTATATCAAGCAAGGTATATATCTCTCTTTTTTTTTTTTAATTTTTAATGATGTTGACTTTTTTATTTTTTAACACGAATTTAAAATTTAATTACAATTTAAAAAATGGATACTCTAATAAATTTTATTTATAAAGTCATGAGTATAAAAGCCTATTGAAACAGTTTTGCGTGAATAAACAATACTTTGTCATATTATAAAACTTTTAAATTAACTAAAATGATTAAAATTAGAGTAATTGGATATATTTTTTTGAATGTTTTGGGTGTTTGTTAATTATGAATATAAAATTCTAGTACAAAATTAATTAATTTGGTATGAACTTGTTGTAACTTTCTTTTTTTGGTGTATAGAGAAAAGAAAGATAGCTAGATTCTAGGGTTTGTAGAGCTTAATTAATTATATTAATAAATTATGAAAATAATAATATAATCCATACTAAACGCATGAAAATCAATGATTATTGAAAATAAAGGGTCAAGATTAATCCTTTTCAATACATTAATATTATCATTTACATTAAAAAAAAAAATCAAATTTTTTTCTTAATTCATTTTTCATTCCTCTCCCTTTCGCTACAAGCTTGTCGCGTTTGCTTTGGTCAGACGATGATGATTTATTAACGGTCAGCAAGTTCTGTAAATCCCTGCTGGATGCTGGGATTGCGAGCCAAAGAATGAGATAAGAAAGGATTAAGGATGTGATTGGTGACAGTCTGGCAACTGCAAAAAATCAAAAGTGAATATGATTGTAGACAATAATATGGTATCTGTAATTTTCTATGAATTATTAGGCGACATGTTGTGGTGTGGATATATATTTGGCCATTTGTGTTTCTTTCCAGCTTCTTAAAGAAGCTTAGCTACGCAACATCGCAAAAGCTTCTTTCTTAAGCTTTCTAACCTCACCTTTAACGTACAGATTAGGGTTTTGAAAATTTTTGTATTTTTCCTTATTTAAATAATTGAAAAAGTCTCCTGTTTCTCAAAAACAAGTTGAAAGCCAAATCAGAGTATATGAACACATGTTTTTGTTAGTATTTATAATTTTACATAAATGCATATACTCTTGAGTTTAAATTATATATGTATGAAAGGAAGAAAATACTTCAGCAATATATATGTATGTATAGCTATTAGCCAATCTGGTACAAAAGGAGAGTTTATAGTATGAATGGGTTGACGACCGACGACTGAGCTTTCAGTGATCTCCAACATGGACGCAACTCCTGTGTTAGAGCACTTTGAAGACTTCATTTTTTCTTCTTCAAGTCAATCCAACTTGGAAATTTTCTACTTACACAAATATAAAATCAAACTTATTGTATATCAAGAGTTTGAATTTCAGTCTCTCTCTTAATTGGAATCCACATCTCATGAAATATGATTAATTGACAATTAAGTTATTTAAATATATAACACCGATCCTTTTTTTTTGAAATTAAAAAGAAGAAGAAGAAGAAGAAGAAGAAAAGCACCTCCAAACATTCTGATAGGCAATGGGGCTCCATTGAATCTTGATTTAAAAGAGATGAGGCCCAATAGGCTATGGGCACTGGCGTGTTAATTATTGCCTTTCTGTAAAGGCTTCCAATGGGCCATATCATTATAGCCCATTTGTCAAACCCCCGAAAAGGAAGTACATACACTTATGATTAATTTAAATTATAATTATAAATATTTTTTATCTTTAAAAAAAAAAAAAAAAAGGTCAATGTTGCAACTTGCATCTTTTTCATTTTGAGGTTGAGGCTGTCTTCCTAATCAGGAAAATCGCAAACTAAGAATTAATCGCTCCATTGACAAAGACATTCCAACCACCATTATCTTAGTTAGGTTTATGTGACAAATTTTCAGATGTCTATAACTTCAAATTTTAAATTTAAAGAAAATTTAATTCTGTATAGAAAAGTTCAAACAAATTATTATCAAACTGGAAGTAGATTTGATTTGACCCTACCCATCACTTCATCTCAATCAGCTTAAAAAGTCCAACCAAGCTTTTAGATTGAAATTTCAATGTATTTATCATTTAGTTACGTGTATTAATTCACTCAGAATGTAAGGAGAGGATTGAATTTATTTAAAAAAATAATTAATTTAATTTCTTCAAAAAAGTGTTAATGAATATTATTCGTCTAATAACGAGTAAAAAATGCCTATGTGACGCAATTATACGTAAATGATTACAAATGCTAAGTATAGTCCAATGACAAGCCATCAAGGGACTATATAATACAAAGAGATGAGTAAAAACTAAAAAGAAAAGAAAAGGGTCCCTTTCACTCTCAAAGAAGATCCCCAACTCTATACGGAACAAATATTATAAATTCACCGCCCATAAAGACAAGTCAGCCGTCCCTTTTATGTTCTCCAACCCGAAAAAAGTTATATTTTAAAAAAATTATATTTTAAATTATGAAAATCTAGTCAATAAGTCAACTCTCCCTTTAAACATTATCTTTCATCTTAAACAATTTGAGGATTTGCAATTTGCAACCTCTTAATTCACGTATCAAACACATCCCTCAAATCAATACTTTTTTTTTTATTACTTTTGCTTCCCTAATTATCAAAATTAGATACATTTCTCCATTACCCAATTTTTCAAAATTGCTCTACTCCCTCACTAAAATTAACTGAATTGCTTAATTTTATTCTTTTTTTCTGGAATTGAATTTGGCTAATAAATAGATTCTGACTTCCTATGTACTTACCTCAATTTGTACACTGTTCAAAATAGCTGCTACTTGAACAATAGTGGGTCTGCTCTTCCTAGAATTACTAACACAAGCTGAAGCAACCTTAGCTAATCTAACAATTGGCTTCATGTCAGAAGGGATTGGGAGTCTGGGGTCTAAAATTTCACTAAACCTAACTTCTTTAATCAAAGGCAATGCCCATTTGACAAGTAAACCTTGTTCATTTCTCCTTCCCGTCAAAAGCTCCAACAAAACCACACCAAACGCATACACATCACCTTGTTTAGAAGGACCTCCTCCTGTTGGACTCCAATATTCATCGTCTACATACCCTAAAACGGCTCTTTTTTCATTAGGTGCCAAAGATGATAACCCATAGTCACAAACCTTAGCGTTAAACTTCAGGTCTAATAGAATATTTGCAGCCTTAAAACTCCCATGTATTACATTTGGTGCCATTCCATCATGCAAGTACTCAAGCCCTCTAGCCGCATCGGCGGCGATCCTTAAACGCCGGCTCCAATCTAATAATGACCCACCATCAGAATTTTCATGCAAGTAAAAATCCAAACTTGCCATACCAACAAAATCCATGATAATAATACGCTCGCCAGGTGCTTGTGAAAATCCCAATATGCGAACTATGTTAGGGTGGTGAGCTAAAGAGAGGGTTTTGAGTGTTGAAGAGAATCCAAAATCAGCATTTCTTAAAACAAGAGAAGGGTGTATTCTTTTAACAGCAACAAGCTTTTCTCTTGGCAATATAGCTGCATATACTGTACCTAAACGGCCTTCACCGATAATTCTTTGATGATTGAAGCCATCTGTTGCAGTATCTATATCTGTTAATTGATACGTGGGTGCTGAAACGTTGACTGAGAGAGATTCTTCAGATTCTACAGGTTTTTTTCTACAGGTGAATACGAGGACTAGAAGAAGAACGATAACAGAAATTGAAAGAACAGAGAGGAGAAAATCGTAACCGATTTGCCCGGCGGTATCCATTTTTACGATCTTGGTTATGAGAACGTTTGTGGGTGATAAGTTTTAATTTCTTGAAGAAATTTTGGGATTTATATTGAAGGAAGAGGGAAAAGAAAAGGCAGGGAGAAACAGAGGTATCTATTTAGCGTAAATGGGTATGCTTTGAAAAAGGGGGCTTCTTTCGGTAAGAAATTTGGAATAGTGTCGGTTTGATTTAGTTGTGTTGGTTCGCGGTTGGCCGCCCTTCGTTCTACTTTTTCATGGAGGTAAGTGGACGTATGACCATCTGAGAAAAATATTATCATACGGACTAATTTTTATACATCTATGCTAGCTTGTCATGCTTACGTAATTCTTGATGATTTGGTGTGCCCAAAATCAGCAAAACAAGAATGCTATCTTGTCATGCTTTGGCAGGTTCAATTCTTATTTATTAAAATGTTCTTCCATTCCAATTAGTTTATTCTTAATTTATTATAATTCAGAATTTCACACTAAATTTTGTAATAAAGAAGTCTCAAATTTTAAGAATTAGATTTCTCCTTAAACACATAATTTCCGCGGCCATAGGGTAAAACAGACGAAACAAGTCGCAGTCTTAAATATCCCTCAGCCCAACTCAAAATTCTGGCCAGCTTTAGACCTCATAGGCTAGTAGTATACAAATACAACGCTACTGTGGACTGGGTTAATGGCAATTCTTTGAACCCAAATTTCTAGATAGGCCCTAACAACAAGCCCATTTCGTACTAAATTAGCTAGAATGGTGCTTTTGATCATCTGGCTGGCAACTACTCCGGCCCACAAATTTATTCATTTAATGCTGGAATCAGGTTTCAATACTTGAAAGTACAGAACCCACCTCAATAGTAATTGCAGCACATAAGGGATAAATACTTTTTTTTCCGGGTTATAACTAAGAGAACTAAGAGGTGTAATCCTTCTCGAAATTAGAGTATAAATGTTTTTTGCCTTTCAAGTAAAATATACTTTTCGGAAATCAAACTTGTGTTCGCCCTTTGCTTTGGTTGCTTTGCAAATGGACCCATACATTCCCACACGTTCACCTTCTCGCTTTTGATTATGCAAACAACTAATATTTTATAAAGTTGAAGATAAAAAAATGATGTTACATTATCATAAAATATGAAAATGGAGAAGATTTAAAAGAACATTGCAATTCTGTTAAAATTCTATAATGTACAAGTGTCGGCTAACCTTTAATTTTGGAAATTGGATATTTTGCATGAGGAGAAAGAGGATCAATTTTGCTCGATAGCCAACAAAAAAGATTAAAAAGAGCTAAGAAATGCAATGCAGGCTAGCTACTTAACAAAATGTCACAGTCAATTGATAGCAAGTAAGCCATGGTGAATGCAGGCAAACAAGAGGCCGCAAAAGGAGCCAGCAAGCTCTTTCACATAAATGGGGAAGGGGCCATTAACCATAGGCGGGGACCAACCCTACCTAACTATTAAAAGTACCCAATTTACACCCGTCCCCTGATATAAGGGCATGTAGATTTGTGTAGTACACAAGCTAAAATCAGTAAATCGCCTCAAGCTGTAACTTTCCGCTCAAGTGTGATTCTTGCATTTAAAATTTGTAGTGTCCATACCATATTAAATGCACTACAATTTTTGCCAAGATTCCCACTTTTTTTGGATCTTGTTCTCATATATATCATAAAAACAGGATTTGCCATACTTGCCAATAAAAGCCCAGCATTTTCAAGAAATCAAGCTGAGGCAAAGGGGAAAAACCCCATCACTCTCAGCAAAATAATCTTTAATGCAGGGTACGACCCCGTCTAAAGGAAAATTTTCAGCAGTAATTTACTTTACAGTGTAATAGTAACACCTCATTAATAACTTAGCAACTCCTTTTCTTTCTTCTTTCTTTTTTTTAACCCCCTCTTCAGAAACTACCCTATCATTTGGACAGAAAAACTTCATCTTTCCTTCATTTTTGTAAAGCAAACACCAAATCGAAGTGGAAATGGGCAAGTTGGCCCAAGAAAAAGAAAATGTTTTGAAGCTAAGCTCATATTCTGCTGCTCCAATATCAGACTTTGCGACAAAACTTGATCGTAATTCTCAAGCTACACTCCCCTGATCTGAGCCATCCTCATAGTAATATGGCGTCAATTTCCCATCTTTTTTTACAGTTTTGAGCATGTTCTCTGGCACAATTTCTTGCAGCATTTTTACAACCCTTCTCATCGATGGTCGGTTGATGGGTAGGGGACCGGTACAAAGAATGCCAATGTTGAGGACTTTGCATATCTCTTCTTTGAAACAAGAATCCAACTTAGGATCAATAACATGGTCCACTCCTTTCTGATCTAGAGTGGTGCACACCCACTTGACCAAATCTTTCTCACCGAATTCTGGATCAACTGGAAGTTTCCTTGTTACCAACTCAAGAATAACCACACCGAAGCTATAGATATCGCTCTTCTCATTCACTCTAAGTGTGTAAGCATACTCTGCAACAAGTGAACACAAGAAGTGATTATTTTGATATATGTGGAATTAAAAATGGGTATTTATATGTTCTGATTGTCAGAGAACAATTCCTAGGTTGCAAGAAGACATAACATAATCACTAAATATTATACAGAGCATTCAATTAATTAGATGCAAATATTAGATTAAAAGTAATTAAGCTAACCTGGAGCTATGTAACCACAAGACCCTGCAATGACGGACATGGATTTAGGCTTTCCAGTGGAATCAACAACCTTAGCAACACCAAAATCCGCAACTCGAGCTCCAAAATCCCCGTCCAACAAAATATTATTGGACTTAACATCTCTATGCACAATTGGAGGAACACAATCGTGATGCAAATAGGAAAGCCCTTCAGCTGCATCTAACAGAATCTTATACCTTGTTGGCCAATCCAACAATCCTCCCTTACTACCATGCAATAGATCACCTAAACTGCCATTGGACATATACTCATAAACTAAAAGTTTACAGTCTTTAGTAGTGCAGCAACACCATAGCTTAACAATGTTCTTATGCCTAATCTTTCCCAAAGTCTCAACTTCTGCATCGAACCCATTATCCTGAACTTGACCTTTTTCAACATCATTTTCATCGCTATCCTTCTTGGCCCCTCCCCAGAGCTTCTTTACTGCAACTGCTTCACCATTGCTAAGAACAACCTTATACACTTTCCCTGACGCTCCGCTCCCTATAATATTATCCTCATCAAGAGAAGCCAAGATCTCGTATTCACTAAAACCTAATTTGTGAAACGACATTAGTGTCCATTTTGACTTGTCAATAGCTCTTGCATTCTTGAAATTTCTGTACTTGAAATAGAACCAAGCAACTCCGATAACAAGGACTAAAGCAGCAAGTATAAAAATGGACTTAAGCAGCCAAGCATAACCTTCCCCTTTACCTTCATCCCTTCCATCACACAAGCCCTCAATATCTCCGCACAAGCCAGGATTTCCAAGAAAACTACTTTTGTACATTTCCTTAGCAAATAAAGATGGAATTGGACCAGATAGCCTATTATTTGACAAATTGAGCTGATTTAACTTCAAATTCTGCAAGCTAAGTGGGATTTTACCAGAAAATCGGTTGGAAGACAAATCAAGATAGTTAAGCACAGGCAACCTTCCGATTTCGGCTGGAATCTCCCCTGAAAACTGGTTGTTAGCCAAATTAAGCTCATTCATTTTCTTCCATGAATCAATTCCGCTAGGTAGATCACCAGAAAGCAAATTACCATGAAGATCCAGACTACCTAATTGCTTCAGATTCACTATACTCCCTGGCAAAGATCCACTGAATTGATTTTTACTTCCAGAAAACGATCGAAGATTCTCTAACCACCCAATCTCCTCCGGTATGTTTCCAGTGAAACGATTGTTATCAATAATCAACATCGACAAATTTGCTGCACTGGAGATGGTTTTAGCAATTTGACCCGATAGTGAATTGTTAACGAGTTCAACAAGGTATACATGAGGCAGGCCCCAGAATCCAGCAGGCAGTTCGCCAGATAACCGGTTATGCCCCAGCCGGACTCTGCCCAAGCTCTGGCATGCACTTAAACTTTCCGGTATTGGACCCGAAAATGAATTATATATCATTAGAAGCTCCTCTAATTCGCCCTTTGCGCACAAAGTTGCTGGGATTTCACCAGTAAATTGGTTGCTTGACACGTCGAACCATCTCAGTGGCGAGTTTTTCCCTAGGTTCTGTGGTAACTCACCAGTGAGTTTGTTACGAAACAGCCTGAGTTCGTATAACCGCGGAGAGTTTGCAATGCTTGAAGGCAAGCTCCCTTCGAAGTGATTCTCATAAAGATTGAGACTTTCTAACGGTAACTGGCATAACTCGTCCGGAATCGGCCCGCTCAATTGATTCATCGACGCGTCAAGCAGCCTCAATGCGGTCAAATTCCCCAACCCTCGTGGCAGCTCCCCTGTCAGCGAGTTGTTGTAGAGCTCGATTTGGAACACGCTAGACAATCCAGAGAGTGAACTCGGGATATTACCGACTAAATTATTGACCGCAAGGTCCAAATCTTTGAGTTTCTTTAGCTGACCCAGAGAGTCAGGGATTTCACCGACTAGATTACATTCAGTGAGCCACAAAATCTCAAGGTTAGCCAAGTTTCCAAGCTCCGGAGGGATCCGACCCGGAGCAAATGGGTTATAAGACAAATTCAACATCTTTAGAGTAGTAATGTTACCCAAAAATGGCGGTATTACTCCATCAAAGAGATTATACACGAGAGAAATGACCTCAAGTTTTTGAAAATGACCAAAAGTTTCGGGAATATCTCCAGAGAAATTGTTTCCTGTGAGGTCAAGGTACTTCAAGTTAGGAAGGTCAGCTAAAGTGTGAGGAAGTGTACCAGTGAGATAGTTCTGAGCGAGATCGAGATGTTCAAGATTCTGGCAAGCAGAAATGTCAAGAGGAAGAGTGTCATTAATGGAGTTATTGTTGAAGGAAATGAAAGTGAGATTTTGCAGACGGCAGAGGAGGGAAGGGAAACGACCACCTATATTGGCATTAGATAGGTCAATGGAAGTGACGGAGCGAGTAACGGAATCACAGCCGACGCCGGACCAAGAACAAGGGTTGTCGTCGCGGTCGGACCAGGAAGAAAGTGCGGAGTCAGGGTCAGAAAGAGAGAGCTTAACTTGGTGGAGGTAAAGTCCTTCTTGGTTAAGAGAAAGGGAAGGAACGGGAAAGAGGAGTAAAAACAGAGAAAGGAAGAACAGAGACATAGCTGTTATTGGTTAGTTCGTTCGTGAATGTTGGGTTGAGAGAAAGAGAAGGGAAAGATTGAAGAAAGCTTGAGGAGGGTGAGAGTTATGGGGAGTAATATAAGAGAGTTGAATTTGAAAGGAAAATGAACCATTTGATCGTGGGCTCCATATGTGGTTCTTCTTCTTTATTTACATGAATGAACAACTGATTATCAATCATTCTTTCTTCTTTCATACAAAGTATCACTTTTTTTTTTTTTTTTTTTTTTTTTTTTTTTGCCATTCCCCTGCAAGACAACTCGTGCCTAATTTGTATCATACTTTGTATGGATAACATCCTAAACAGAAATTTTTTTTGTCTTGTGTATTTTTTCTTTTCTTTTTTTTTTTTTTTTTTTTTTTTTTTTTGCCTTCTTGCAAGACAACTCGTGCCTAATTGTATCATACTTTGTATGATCCATCTAAATCATTTTTTGTCTGTGTATTTTTCTTTTCTTTTTAATGCAATTTGTGCTTAAATACGTGAAAATGTATATTGTATTCATAATCTATTTGAAACAACTCAAAATGTTAGTTTAGTTGGTTTGACTCAGCTTTGTGGTCTTCATTTTGAACTCAAACTAATAAACATGGTATTGATTGGGCAGACATCAACTTTCGTACGAGTGAGAATATAAATTTAATTTAAAGATAAAATCTAATCTCAAAAGAATTATACCTTCAAATTATATCAAAAGAAAAAAAATTTTGAAACCCGATACCTTCGTACTAAACTTAATCGGTAGATATTTCTTATTTACCCTATTATCGAATTAAGAGTTATTTTAAGTCTAAATTCCTCTTGCCTTTGTTTAACATTTTGAAAACATTTTATTTTCGCAAATATGATTTAAAATAGAATTTAATGAATCTTAATTCAAAATTAAAACTTCTATTTAATAAAAAGAGAAAAAGAGATTAGGGTTCTTTTTTCTTTAATGCTTCCCTCAAAGATTAGCATTTATTATATATTTAAAACGTCTCTCGCCTAAAGAGCACCACGGCATCAAGTTCTGTAATTCAATTAATTCAATTACAATTCTTATTTTCTATTTTCATTACTTCCGGGAACCAATTAAAAAAGGAAAAACAAAATAAAAACGAGATTATGTTTAAAAACATGCAAGTATTATCATATATCACATGGCGGATGGGACTAAAAAAGGATAGAACTAGACGGATGGAATAAATTGTACTTTGGACATGTGTACGGATTCAAAGACAGCTCCTACTCGTTAGCCTGTTCTTCAAAGCTTTTTCTCACGCAACCGCAAGATAAAGGTCCGGTGCGTTAATTTGGTCGGAAAATGGAACTAAATTAGAAATTAAATGCAAAATGAAAATCATTTTAAACAAGTAAATACTAAATTAGAACTTGATATTTGATTTCCAGCCATGAATCAGCAATGATAACCAATTACTAATTACAATTCCCATGTATAAAATTACTACAATTATCACTTGTTTGGGATTAATTAATTACTAAGGTCAGTGAATAGTGTTTTGTGTTTCATTGTCAAACACGGTCAAAAATAACCTGCTGAATGTTGTGTGGTCCGGACTGAGGACTGCACATCCGACATTGCAAGAGAAAGGTAAATGGTCAATGGCGGTCAAGAGCGAAACGACGTCATTTTCGAATATTAGACTTGGAAACTAATTATTATTGTCTCTTGCTTTTGTCCCGTTTACTACTTCAGACACTATCATAGTATCATGAACATGTAGAGACGTGCTTAGAAATTTTACAAAATGTTTAGCAATGTTACAAGTAATTAGTAAATAATACTTGTAGATTAGAGGTAATTAAGTTGGTCTACCAAACGAGAAGACAGTGTGGAAATTTGGTCCTTCCTTGTTTAGGGGTTATTATTGATTAACCAAACACCAGAATTAGCTTAGAAAATTGATGTCATGTTTTTGTTCCCAAATTGCGTGTTTTAGCATATACTTATAATTTATAATTTGAGAGTAATTTAATTTAAAAAATTAATTTACTTACTATATATATTTAAATTATATTTCTTAATATATCCGCGGTGAAAATAGATCATTGAACCAAATCGAAGGTATTTAACTTATCTCCGCTAGGCTTCATGTCCCCGGTACATCATAGGCTATGGTAGAACCTGGTGCAGATTTCTGAAAGCATTACACGCGGCAAATTAAGAATCAGTATTGCTACTGGTCATGTCGCGGACTAGACTATATGTGACGCCAAAATAGTTTTGATTGCTATATCTTTTAACCAAGTCATTAGATCAACGTCCAGGATTCTCTGACTTCTCTTGACAAAGAATCTGGTGAACTCTGCACCTTATTCACAATAATACAGTTCCCAATTCTTTTTTTTTTTTTTTCAATAAAAACCCATAATTTGGTTTTAAATTTTTAATCGCCCTGGTTTATTGGAACGTGCGCAAATTTGCTCTTATTACAGTTTCTTTAACAATAACACATTGTATGGGATGGAGGGAATTTCAAATTTCTAAACCTTGAACTTGACATATTTGCACTATGATCGTCGTAGCCTATAGGGGCATGTACTGTTCAAAACAAACAATTAAGTCAAATCAGATTAAATTAATTTAAACAATTTAATTTAGTTTTTTTTAACTGTATAAACTCTAATTAAATGAAAGTAGTTTTATTTTACAAATTTATTTAGAATAAAAAATAAATCAAAATAAAGTTAAACCGAAAGAAGAGATGGGTGGTCAGTGAAAAATCCATCAAATGGTCAGATTGGAAAAACCGAGAATGAAATTGAGTTCCAAAAAGGGGACAGCAAGTACCCAGAATTGCATAATCAACAGTTAGAATCAGAAAAATAAAGAGGAAGGAGACGAATGAGAGAAGATATAGTAACTGGAGAGGTCAAAAGAAAGCAGTGATCAATATCTGCAAATTCTTATGAAAAACCTTTCTCATTGTTCCAAATTTTTCCTTTTTTAGGACAATATACTATAAACTGAGATTGGATTGCCAAGTTCCAAACCCCTCCACTAACTATCCACTTTTTTATATTTTCTCCCAACATGCTCTTCTCTTTAGGCCTCACTGTCCCACCTCGTTCACAACCTCCGGTCGACCTGTTTTAATGGCTTCTATGTGATGTTAGTGGGTAGCTTAATTACCCTATAGATTGCCTTTAGTTTCCTTTGAACTTTATCTCAATGTTACGTACCATAAAATTACTATTTAGATACTAAAACAGATAAAAATAAAAAATAATTGATTTTATCGAATATGTAAAAAAAAACAGACGTGACTATGAGAGATGAAAGAGGTGGGTCTATTTTTGCAGCCACACGCTTGCAACTTGACAACATGACTAAGGGAGTTTGCGTATGCCTTCATTCAATTATTTTATCATATCAATTCTTGTGCAGTCACTTTTCAAGTTGTTGCCTTTTCTCCATGGCTCATGTCTATTAATCTCCCTTACAATTTCTTTTTCGGCTACCCCGAAAAAGAAAAGTTTTGAATTTTATTGAGCTTCTGTTGATTGAATTAATTCAAGGATTAGACGATTGCATTTTCTGTTGCTGGTAAGGATTTTAATATGCAAATCAGATTTGTAGTTGGGATGTCTTATAAGACCCACCAACTCAGAATTTTAAGATCCAATCTATTTATTGGCAGCATTGAAATTTGAGAGAACTAGGTTTAAAATTTGAATTGCAGAGTTTGGTGAACTGAGTTATATAGAGTTGCTCCTTTGGTTGCATGGAATTTATGGTAGTTAAAGTCGTTATGGTTATGCATATTTATAAAACCAGCCAGAGTGCAATTACTGCAACTTACCCTCTTTATTCTCTATTGTATATATACATGTATATATTCTTTTCAAATTTTTATATTATCATTAGCAATTTAAGCATTAAAAATTTAATTATATAATTTTTTTTTAGAAAAAAAATGAGAGCATAGCTCAAAGAATAAACAAATTAAGAATATTCGAAAAAAGATTGATATGGCGAGTATTCACCTATGAAATTATTTTTAAAAAAAATCAGCAGAATAGTTAGCTTCACGATAAATATATTACATTGGGTAAGTGATTGCTTAATAAATTGAAACGAGAGAGTAAAATATCTGAAAATTTAATAATATAATATAATAATATTGATATTTTTATTTTAAATGATGTCCATTTATTACTATTTATTTTAAATGAGCATGACAGCTATTATGGGATTCACGGAATAGTAGCGAATTATTGGAAAAATCAATAATTCCCTTATGGATAAGGGTTATTAATTTAATTAACTTAAATAATTCAGGATTAACAAATGATAAATTAACTCTCTACTTAAATTTATTTGAGCTACACTCTTTTTTTTTTTTTACATTTTCAAGTAAAATTTATAAAAATAGGAGAGCTTTTAAAAAAAATAATTAAGTTTTAGAAAATAATGTTGATTTTTCTGAAGTGCACAAGAGATTAATTGTTGGCTTTTTGAGAGAGTCTTAAGCTGTCGTCATTTAAGGAAGCTGCCAAAATTATAATTTAAAGTTTAATATAGAAAGATGGATTGATGTAAATTGAAAAGAAATGCAACAAGAGGGTTCTTCTTCTGCTCTCTGCTGACAGTAACCAGTGACAAGTCATAAAACATTGAGATTCCTTTGAAGATAAGCCAAACCCCACCATAATATAGCTTTGCGACTTTTAGTCCACTTTCCTGGAATTTGTGATTCAGCCAAATTCTTTTCCAACTCGGCAGCTTTGTCTATCCCGAGTTATTTAGATTTTTTTTTTTTTTTTTTTTATTTTGAAATAACATTTCAAATTATACAAAATAATATTATTAAAATAAACATATAAAAATATCAATCACATCACATCTAATTTATATACATTTTAATATATTTAATTCTTACATTCACTTCAAATTTATTTTTATAGTGCCATAAGTACAAGAGATGTTTGTCTTAATTTACGTCAAATTTAATCAGACACCACGTGGAAGCTAGCAATTGCCATCTATCGGTTTCACCATTTTTAGCTTAAAATCATTAAATTATGTTGGTGGTTTTGCATTTATGGATTTTATCAGCAGCAATCAATCTCACCATACGGGTTGTTGTTTCCATGGTTCATTTATTAATCTAAAACACTCTTCACCGTTGGATCCA